TTTCCCATTATTGGATACTTATTTTCATTGTAATTTCTGTCTTTATCAGTGCAGTATGCTTAAGTTGTTAAACTGTTTCATCTCCATTTGTATGGAATGTATGGGGGCATATTCATGTCATGTAAACTGTTGTAGTTATTTAGGGAGAAAAGTCTATAAGGCTCTTATTGTCCACCAAAAATAATTAGAGTGATGACCCCATTTTGAGCCCGGTCTTCGTTATATACGATATTTTTTTGAATATTAAAGTATAAATCTACTCAGATTACCAAAAATGGAGCCTGACTCCATACAAGCGGAAATAGCCGATTATAACCGAAGTGAGCAATTGCGTTTCGGGTAATAAATTCTGATAATATTCAATTATATCCGCTACTTTTCAGGTACGGTTCCTTTAAACGAGGCCATACCTTTTGACATGTGTCTGCAATCGTTCAATTAAACGTAACCTCATTTGCCAGTGCATTAAGTTTTATGCATGGAATGGATACATATAAATGGAATTTTATTACTCCAAAATTTGATTAATAGTAACAATTTAAAATGTTGTGTCATTTTATAACCAGATATAGTAATATTATACTCTCTTCATACATTAGTTTTTTATTAAATAAATGTATATCATATTTTATGTTATCAATCTTAAAAATGTATTGTGTTTTAATATTACTACTCTCACTTACATGTATGAGCATAAACATGTTATCCGAGAATATTTTTACGATTAATATAAAGTTTACACTGCTTCCATACCATTTAGCCATCTTTCTATAATATTTTTATCAGATTTGTGTTGAACCGTTTTCTTGCAATGATATTCTTTTATACCTTCTAGCCAACTTCGTACACTGCTTCCATACCATTTAGCCATCTTTCTATAATACTTTTATAACTGTTGAACCGTTTTCTTACAACCCCTTGATACCTTTTAGCCATCTTCGGGCAATGTTTCTGTACCATTTAGCCATCTTTCTATAGTACTTTTATAACTGTTGAACCGTTTTTATTTTTGCTTATCAATCTTCGTGAAAAACTTCCATATCTTTTGGCCATCTCTCTTATTGCAGTTGTTTTCTCTATCATTTAGCTGCCTGTATTTTTTGTAATACTTACTTAACATTTAAATTTTTTTTGTTATACTCCAATATCTTGCAGCCATCTCTTTACTTCAATACTTACATAATTATACTAGTAACTAAGCAACTTTCCTGTACTTACATAAAATTCAGCCATCTTTCTGCAATACTTTGGTAAAATTCAGTCATCTTCAACACATTTGTTCCTTATGAGCATTTTTCAAAAGGGAAAAGGGAAATAAAGTGGGTTTTTTGTTTTGTTGTTGTTGTTCAAAATTAGATTTTAGTTCTACAATAACATAAAATTTATCTTAAAATCTTGTTCCATAATTCTATTAAATCGATTTCAAGTAAAAGCGGTTGTTAAAATTTAGAATTTCTAAATTCTGTATTCTGTGGGTGTGTGGTCGCTGCTGGTGGCAAGATTAGTGCTTCCGTATTTAACATTGACTCCAATTATTTTTGTCAAGAAAGTGATATGTCTTCCTTGTTGAACGGGAATGTGATACAATATTAAATATCTAAGTTTCTGCGAAAACTGAAAGGTGCCATGTTTACGATATCTCATCTTATCAAAAAGCCATGAATTTTCTCTGAAAACTTCCAAAAAAATACTGTTTTGCGGTTAGATTTTAATTCTTATCTCAACCCTAGAAAACGTAAAAAAATTCTTTTTTATATCCAAATTTTCGAGCTGTGGGAAAAAGTTGAGGATATGTTGTAACTTGAAGCATACACGTAAATTTCAATTAGTTGTCACGCTGAAAAATAAATGAAAACGTCTATTTCTATAAAATACCATTTTTCACAACAAGTGGAAATTTTACGACATTTGACATTTTGTGACAATACTAATGTTACGTTACTCGGTTAATAATTATTAGTTTGTCTCGCGTGTAACCATTGAAAGAAGTCCGTGTATACCGTCAAACCATAACTGTCAAAAACATGCGACTAGGTACAAGTGTTGACAGGCCTCGTTTGTTCTAACAAGAAAATCTAGTAAAGTGAGTCTCTGTTATGTCAACTGGAGGTTGAAACCTATCTTTTAATATACCGTGATACTCTGTGTATCCGTGAAAAATGACCATGACCGTTTTGTCTAAAATACGTTGTAAGTTAATCCCTATCTAAAACCCGTCCGTTTTTCTATAGAAAAAAAATTGAATTTTTACATTGTGTATATTTATTTTTGCAGCTCTCAGGATGTATTGTATATATTAAAGAATGGATAACATTGGTTAGTTGATAGACTTTAAGCATGTTGATATTAATTAGCACTGGTAAACGTATAATTGCATTTAATTTAAGAAAGAATCTTATAAGTATTAGTATTAGTATAAGTTTAATTCGCATGCAGTGTCAGGAATAGTCTAAAATAAGTTTCTAAAATTCATTTCATGTAGGTCTAGACCAATAACTGTATGCAAAAGTTCGGATCATTCTTAATTGTGAAAAACGTTAACAAAATTAAAAAGCGTTGCAACGCTTCTCACTCACACTGGCTAAGAATAGCACAAAATACGATTTTCAATATATTTTTTATTATATTTCTCAATAATCCTTTGCGTTTTTTTTCTGTTTTTAGTGCCAAAGTTGTTCAATGTATGAATTTCATTTTTTTTTGAAAATATGAATATGAAAAGTTTATTTCTTTATACATGAATTGATTCTGCATGTAGCTATATTATATATCAATATTTGATTGTAATGACGCGAAAACGTGATAACGTCAAAACTGACACTTAAATTTCAACAGAGATGTATATACGTTTACATATCTATTAAACTAGGTCTTATTCAATTAAGACTTTTTTACAATGCCCTAATCATGATTAAGATATCAGTTTCATAATAAAACTAAGACTTTTTTATTGTCTTTGCCTTCTGTAAATATGTCAACGTACCGTGTTACGTAATCAGGGCCATTAACGTTGTTTATTTTGACGGATGATGAAGCATAATGAGGAACGCTAGCGACACCGATCTCACGTGATCTCGTTCTAATCTCTAGCACGTAATGACAGGTGTAAACAAAAGTGAAATATACATCATAATTACAGTTATCAGCATGTACAAATATTTGATTTGAATATTAATGTGAAAAAAACGAACATAAATCATCCAGATTATGATTTAAGTTGCGACAATGTTTACATTGTTTTATGTAAGACAGAAAAGTTCGATAATCTTTATCTTTCGAAAAAAATCAATAATTTATATAAAGACGTGCGTTTCTCAAATGATTGTGTGAATTTTTTCTTTATTTCTATTTTTCTTACTGCACACTAAATGTCTGCTTTCTGTTTATTTTCTCTGTTAATATTCTTCTTAAGTAACAACATGTATACACTCGACAAACTTAAACTATAGTGAAGTAACTAAGTTCCAAAAATGTTAGCATTTGACCTCTTGATCGAAAAGTCAATTTATTAGGGTCTTTCCCTTTTAAAACGAAAACATCTGAGAACTGTTCCGCTCATTGGATTTTCTGCTAATTTAGGAAGACTCCTCGGAGCTAATTATCTCATCACGAAAATTAATCCCTTTTTGATTGGCCCCGTTCAACACAAGCATTGTGCTGTCGATGTGAATTACTTCCCCTTGAACTGGTTAACAGAATGGACATATGGCTCGGACAGCGTGTTCTGTAACTTTTCACCTTGCTCTGCCATAGAGAAAGTGATATTGGTCAAATGACAAAAATGGGGAAAATGCCATATTCGCCTGAGATGTATAGTAACTTATTTTCTGATATTTGATTATTTGTATATTTATTGTCAGTTAGCTTCATTTAAAATACGTTTTTTGAGAGCTCATTTATTAATAAATTAAGTTTCTCACTTTCTGCATGGCGACATTATAAAATTGCAATTTCATCTCACATCATTAAAACCAAGATGAAATACTTCATTTTGAATTCAGGTTCATTTGATTTATTTAATTTAAATGTATCTGAGAGGAATCTTAATGAAATATATTATATATATATATCCCCTGATTATGATTGATCTATGGGAAATGATTTAATATCAATTCTAATGACACGGTTAATCAATATGGAGTGGAGGGGGCTGGTCATATATTTTCGGTTGTAAAAATAATGTTTTAGGTAAAAAACAAAAAACAACAACAACAAAAAATTAGCCTAAATTTCACAAATGTAACAAAAACACAATCGAAGAGAAACTTCAGAAAAGTTGAAAGCTATAGATGTAACATTTTTGCGATTTGATTGTATTTTAATTATACAATTGGGTTATAATTTTCAACGTAGCGATTATAGCTTTTTTGCATTGTCTTTATTTTATTATATTTAAAAAAAAAATTTGGTTATTTTTGATAACAGTTTTATTATATTTTATAATACTACACTCGTTTATTTCTATGAAGAAAGTCATGTAATAAACTTATTAATAATATTATAATACAGTATTATGATAAAGACGAATTGATTGATAGTCAATACTTAACAGAATTTTATCTAACAAAAATCATAACATCTTTCTTACTTTTATCGACACAAGGTCTCAGTATCATACATCATTTCTTTACTTGTTAAACAAACATTTTTTCATCGCAGAAGAAAAATTTGTAATTGAAAACAAACACGCCTGCCATACGGCTGTCAATTTACCCTTTGATGAAATTTCACTATCTTCAATTCTTTACTATTTGATATTGATCAGTGGTTTTTGATCAAAATGGAAAATCAGTGAATATAAAAAAATCTAAATTATTAAAAAGTAAATAAATATACATGATAACGATGACAGCCTTTGACAGGCGAAATATCGGTTTATAATTTTCGTCAAATGTAGCGTATCGATTCTTATGTCAACAGTAGAGAAAACTCCCGATATCTTACTGGCTGACGAAGACGGTGGGCGGAGCTTAGTACGCGATACGGATCTCCGCTCAACGAAATATTATTATCGGCAAAGCAAAATTCTCACATTTTTACAACTACTGGTTTTAAAGTGAGCGCATGTTTACATTTGGATTAAACATTTAGATCTTGACATTTTCATTATTTCGAATGGACTGGAAGTGTGAAAACGTAAAAGAAAAATAGAAAAAGGTGTGCTTGAAATACTATTTGGATTTGATCTTATACTTTGTAAAATATTGGTGTTAATGTTATGTTTACTTTGCGCAATGTTGTTTTTTGAGCATCATTAATATTTTTCATACGACTTGCGTTACTTACACAGATTAACCCTTTACGAAAATATTTTACATCTTTTATTTGTATATTGCAGGACTTATACAGTGAAAAAAAGGAATGCAGATTTTAAGAAAAAAGTTTATTTAGTACAAATTGAAATAGTCAATATTGTCATTGTGCACGGAGAATTTTTGGATGTGCTGTGTGTATCGATACATCATGTAATTTCGCGATCAACAGGTGTCAACACTTGCAGTAAGGCACAGTGATAAACAACAAGGGGTTTTATTTCTTCATGGATATATATTAGAAACGTATTCGCACTCTATAAAATGGCATGGGGAGGGCGTGAGCGCTCGAACATGGAGTTTACGACCACCGTGGGAAGAGGTTTATTGCTAATGATTCTGGTGTTAATTATGGATCTTAGAGTTAGTGCCGAGGTGACATATTCAGTGGAGGAGGAACAGGGGTCAAAGTTAATTGGCAATGTTGGTGAGGATTATGACCTGCGATCTACCATGACACAAGAGGAGTATTCGAACCTAGCCTACAAGATTCTGTCTAGTGGTAACAGTTTAGCTCATTTCTTTCAAATTGACTCATCCGGACAGCTTTTTACGAAAGAGCCTATAGATCGAGAACAGCTTACACATTGCTCAAGGGAACTGACGTGTGTGATATCTCTAGATATTGCCGTCAAAGCGACGATAGGTGCGTTCTTCCGTAAAATTAACGTAAAAATTGAAGTTATAGATATAAACGACAATAGCCCGGTCTTTCTTAAAGGAATTGATAGCGCTTCATTTCTAGAAAATTCAGAGGGTGCTATAGCTTCTATTGATGGGGCTGAAGATAATGACGCCGGGAATAACACGGTAGTTAGATATTACGTAGACACCCCAGACGTTCCATTTGACGTCATGTTAGAAAAAATGGAGGACGGTAGTTCAACTGTAAAAATAATCGTAAATGGAAAATTAGACCGCGAAGAAAAAGAGTTCTATCAAATAAGAATTGTGGCAGAAGATGGGGGTACGCCAAAGAAAACAGGGGCAATAGTTGTAGATATCACTGTACAAGACATGAACGATAATTCGCCAAAGTTTGACCGTCCATTCTACAACGTTACGTTGAATGAAGACACGGCTATTAACACGGTGTTTGAGACAATATCAGCCACGGACGCAGATGCTGGTGAAAACGGTCGAGTTGAGTACAGCCTAAGTGCTAATCAAGATGAATCAATTCTTAATACGTACGCTATTAATCCTACTACAGGTGAGCTTAGCGTCATCAGTCAGTTAGTTTACGTAGCAAATGAGCAGACGTTAATATTTGTAGAGGCCACTGACAAAGGTCCTCAACCAAGGCCCCAGCAAATTCGAGTTTACGTTAATATAATAGACCTTAGTAATAATCCGCCAGAAATTAATGTAAACATTCTCCAAGGAGACATCAATGCACGAATCTCGGAATATGCCAACGTTGGTGCACCCGTTGCTCATATTGCCGTCATTGACAGTGACACAGGACGTAACGGCAAAGTTGAATGTATTGGGATAAGTGATAATTTCGGATTAGAAAGATATGAAACAAATGAATATAAAGCAGTTGTTACAAAACCTTTGAATAGGGAACTTGTGGAGACACATGAGGTCACTATAATCTGTAGAGACAGTGGATCGCCGCCGTTAAATACGACAACCAGTTTTATTGTAGTTGTAGTTGACCAGAATGACAATGCTCCGAGATTTTCACAAGGGACTTACTTTGCAAAAGCTGAAGAAAATAACCTCGTTGGTGACGTAGTAGCTAAAGTATCAGCCACGGATATTGATTCAGGGAACAATTCTAAAATTGAATATAAGCTCGTAAGCACGAGTGGATATAGCTTCTGGATCGACCCTGACCTTGGCGAAATTCGAGCCAATTTTAGACTAGACAGAGAAAATGTGTCACAACTAGAAATCGTTGTCGAGGCAGAAGATCATGGGGACCCGAAGATGTCAGCTACATCGACCGTTATTCTTTCAGTCACTGATCAAAACGATAATTATCCAATCTTTTCGCAACCTAATTACGAGTTCTTTGTTTTAGAAGGTGTTCCGCACAATACCACCGTAGATCAGTTAACAGCCACGGATAAAGATTACAGGGAGAACGGCACGGTTTCTTTCTCTTTTAACACACCGCCTCCATCTAGCTTCCCATTCATCCTGTATTCGGACGGGACAATTAAGATGATACGGACTTTAGACAGAGAGAAGCAAGGGACATATAAGTTCACGGTCGTCGCCTCGGATCAGAGCGCTAAACCTCTGAGCAGCTCGGTTACTGTAACAGTGATTGTTCTCGATGTCAATGATAATGCACCAGTGTTTATCTTCCCTGATAAAGATAACAACACAGTTACGATTCCGCTTTCAAGTACACCTGAATCGGTCTCAATTGTTGTCGAAGCAACTGATATCGATGCCGATAGTAACGGAGAAGTGTCTTATTCAATACTAGATAATAATGTGACAAGTTTGTTTTATATTGAAAGTGCAAACGGCGTAGGAAATGTAAAACTACGCCGCTTACCCAGTTCATCAGAACCGCTAGAGTATGCGTTTATAATTAAAGCAGTAGACAACGGTAGGCCAAGCCAATATTCTTTGCAACTTTTGTCTGTATCGTTTACAAAAGACGCTGAAGCGCCAGTGAATAGACAAAATTTTCTAATTGCTATATCATTGGGCTGTGTTACAGTAGTTTTATCAATTGCAATAGTCTTAACTATATACCTCATCCGTCGTCATGATAGACTCCAGTTAAAGTCAAGTGCTGCTCAATATGACGACAGGGCAGACATGGAAATCGTCCCTGGTGATATGAAGCACAGGGAAGAACTTGGCAGTACTTCCTCTGGAAGCAAAGAAAGTTTAAAGAAAGTTAGCTTTTCAACGGACCATAACTCGAGTCTTGAGTCCGAGCCCAACCGGGACGTGTCCCAGTCTCCATTGGTGAACCTCGATAACATGAAGGTAAGGATATCGTTACATTACAGACCTCTTTTTTTCCTTCCCTTTGCCTTACATTTATGTTGATCTTTTGTTTGAAAGACCAAACACACAGTGACCAGTGTGATTATGCTTTTTGCTGAAAATTTAAGAATTGTTAGAAAACTCTTTTACTTATTAATTGACGAAAACTAGTGTAATGCATTTACTATTCACAGCAACTGTTACTTACGTGTAAAGCTTTGTATGATTTGGGAATGCGGAGATAGAAAGTTCATATTTGCATAAGTCTAGCAGGTTAAGGGTTCAAGTACTTTTAGGATCACATATCATGTTATAGGAAAGTTTCGTATCGATACTGTTTTTGATATGCTCCCATAAAGATATATTCTCATATAAGTCATATTGGTATATATATTTAACAGAAGAACTTAAATTTGAGTAAGGAATATTATTGAAATATTTATTAATCCAGGAACATAAAGTTTTATACTTAATGTATAAATAGTTAATATTTAAATATGAATAATTGTACATGTATATTTTATTTTATTTTATTGTCGTAGAATATTCAGTTTTAATACCGTTTTCCTGCGTTTAATGTCCCTACTTGAATAATTAATGAAATTTTACTACGTGTTCTAATGTGTATCAATTTTAAGAAAATTTGAGTTATTTAACAGGTTTATGTGGGTTTTCCGTATAATTTAAAAACTTGCATACGTTCAGTTCGCGAATTAGTTTTAACAGCATGTCATACAATTACTTAATTATTGCACAGTTGTGTTCACATGTTGAAAAAAAAGTTTATTTAAAAAGAAAGAAGAAAAAATAGGCCATAGTCACGGCATTTATTTCTATTAAAACCACATTTACATGCCATGGAACATTTCACAGCGACGCTGGTGACACTAATTTTTAGTGAAATGAAATTAAAATTTAGCGTGACCATACCTATTCTATCATAACGTAGTATTTGTATTTCGCGCTGAATGTACTTGAGTTAAAAATATTCGAACCTTGAGTTTAGTAAGGGTAGAAGTATAAGTAGGGTCATACGTCTTCCATTGAGTGGTCACATTTTTATACAAAAAATGGAATGGATGTCAAAATATGTATTTGTCATAAGGGGAGCGAACATTTAAGGAAATTCGATCGCCGGTTAAGATTGTGTGAAGTATGCATCGTATCTGATACAGTGTTATCATATTTCATGATATTTAAAAAAAGCCACGACAATAATATCTTTGTGAATGCATGCCCGAATATATATGTATATAATTTATCTAGGCTAGTTCATGTATATGTTTGTTTTATGATGAGGGTTGGTCGGCGTGGGGTGGGGTGAAAAAAGTCGTTCTGATGCTGACACAAAATATTGTAGAAACACTGAACAGCAATACATATCTATGAGACATGTATATCTGTTATCAAAGATCTCTAATGTTAGCTTAAATATTTCTTTAAGATTACCACTTAAAGCATTTTGTACCTAAGGTTTTATCATTTTATCATTATCATCATCATCATTATTATTATTATTATTATTATTAAATCATATTTAAATATGGTTCAATATTAAGTTATAACTCATATACATTGAAAATTCATTGTATATTTTAGCATTAATCATGTTGTCATTGGTAATAAAATATAATTGTTTCTTTCAACATGTCGGTGCACATATGCGTTAATGAATATATAATATTATTTTAAAAGTTGTAACATCGGCTGCATACATAATCTAAGGAGGGCAAATTTGGTCGACGTTTATCCGTAGCATTCATGAATTTTTAATTTACACTTGTTGAACAGACATCACACATTGTCACCGTATTTAAGTTCGTTTTAAAGTAGAAATTCAAATGTTTAATGATACCTTAAAGGAAGTTTTTGAAGGACTCTTGTTCCTTAAGCTCGGTACTTCACGTGCACACCGTTCATTTTTAACAATCACTGTTTCTAAAGCTTATTTGACTTTTGGCTACTTCATGTTTGACTAGTTTTAACAGATTAATATAACTCGGACGCAGTTTAGTGTATGATTTTTTCAACAGAAATTTATTTAGCAATGAAAATATTTAAACATAACAATTGTATAGAATAGATATATTCAATTCAAATGGATCAGTCATTCGCAGCAATAAGAAATACTGTCGCGAGCCACCGAGGTTTAACTTAGACCGAAGTGAAGCCGAAAGTCCGATTATGACAAATATTTTATTTCCTAAATAAAACATCGTAAATCGATCTTTGATTTGTTTATTTTTTAGTAATTGAAAATGACCAGAAAGTCGCGACATTTCTTTTCTAACCTCGCGTTCAACTAAATAACGCTAGACCTAACGCAACCACGGCTCGAGCAAATTGAAAGGCACGAGTTAATCATGCGGTCATGATAAATGGCAGGGATGGCAGTACGGATAAATCAAATTGTGGACAAAATAACTTTAAGTTACTCTATTGTTACAAAGTATAATAGATTGTAATGAGTAATTTTTAGTCAACTTTAGTCACAATGAAGAGATCTGTAATGCATACATGTTTATTTTATACAGTTGGATATCATTAAAGTACCCTACCCACATAGCTGTGCCTAAGTTTTAAATATATTAGTACATTTTAGTGAAAGTTTTGAAAGGTCCTGACAAACAAATATAAATAATGTTTTAACTGTCCGGCTTTGGCATTAACTTAAAACAGGCTTTTATCTTTGACTTAATGCTCCGTTCCCTTAACTGTGATAATGCGTGTTTTCTATTAGAATCAAGATAAATGCAATAAATATAGCGACGAATTGGTTTTAATATTAAAACAATAATACTTTGTTGAGATTTAAAATCTTGAGCGAATTTTTGTAGAACTTGATAAAAACTATCACAGCAAATGGTGGCGAGTATAACCCGGCTTAATTCCACACTGACGAATTAATGAACACGAAACAATGCAACAAATGTTAAAAACCATTTACTTTTTCTTATAAATTGACTGCGTTCCAAAAACACGTGGGACAAATTTTAATACAAAATTTTTTACCGAAGAAAACATTTTAAAAGGTTTCAACAAAGATGATGGTTTTATGGTTCACGATGTCCTTTCTTACACGTTTTCCGTATGAAAACAGATAAAATGTTATAAAGGTGTCATCATGTTGTCTACATAATCCTTATTGTAATGGGCACGCGGAGAGATACAATAAAACTCTTTTTTTGCATAATCATTGGAGATGTTATCACAATACTTCTATTCTTTAATCTTTTAAAATATCTACTTGTTTCCTGTCAGGAATATACATTTTGTAACATGTTTTACTTTTATTAGCACGGCCTTTGGGCTTTATTCTTTTTTAAGAATTTATCTTGTCAAGTGTAAAACAGCCACCATCCAAGTGTACAATTTTTGACCGCCTCGGGTGAAATCAGCGTCATGCGCTATTCTCTGTAATGAAAATATTGCTTAATTTGAACAAATATAAAAGATTCCATTTACACCTTTCAAAATATGAAGAGATGCTTTCATTTTTCGCATCAGTTTCTTCATCTCCGCGGAACAATACAGCCATCTACGTGTTTCCTTTTAACCCCTTCCGGCAATAAAATCGCTATAATAAGTAGTTCGTTTTCAATTCTTACGAATTGTAAGTCTTAACGGTTATCTAAACAGTGAAATTGAATTAAATATATTTCCATTTTAGCTTGACCTGTTAGTATCAATAATGACAAAACGATGAAAAGAGGGTCATCGGACTGTATATGTTATTTTTGAATTAAGGTCTTATTACGGTATCAGTGCCAGATTTTAGAAAATAAAAATAAATCCATTAAAAGTGTGACTCGGTGGCTCTTTCACGTACAAATAATAAAACCGGTGCAAAATAGACAATAAAGAGAGATGTTTATTTTTAACAAGATTTGTTGCAACAATGGCCTGTAATTCTTTAAGACCTTTTTTAAAGTGCAAAGTGTGGCAATTTCTCTCGTTTGACTCATATAAGTTAGAATTATTCCATGGTCAAGGAGACTCTTTAGCCTCCATTGTTCATATACCTTCTACGTAATCTCAAAGAATAACATACAAGTCAATGTAACCTGGATTTCGTTAATATCTTAATATTTTTATGATTTATATTTATATTAAATGAATAATACATTCAACGCTATGGTTTTTTCTCATAGTCAACTTTCAACTTGGTGTAAACAACTTGTCAATCTTGAAATGTTCATAAATAACGAGAAAACTGTGAAAAACCCGGAATGACATGGTGTATTTATTACAATTAAGTCTGTTTATACCACAGTGTACCACAGTGTGTAAGGGGAGGTTTTTGCCACTCTTAATTTTATATCGTGATACAAAACGCTAGGGGTCTTTCAGCTGAAACACTTGTTGGAATCGAAACGTCTGGCAACAATTTAATAGTCATAGGGGAAAAAAAGACGGTAACAAGGGTCTTCTGTGTATTTCAAGTTTCCTCTTCTAGTACTTAAAATATTTCTCACGTACTTTTATTCTTGGCAAGGAATTTCTTATACCGCCTTCTCGGTTTCAGCATAGAAATGTGTCTAAATTTAGAAAACATACAATAATTTTCTGCTGGTTTATAAAAAAAAATGTACAAAACGCCATTTTTCAGCATTTTTGGTTCTATTTCAAAATTTATTTAAGTCGAAACTTAACAAATTTTAGGTTTGAATTAAAAACTTACCACGTGCTTATTTGTGGCAAAATAATAAACTGACATGTATGTATACGCAGTAGGTAAATGCAGAAATCTGCTACTGTATAGTAATCAGGTGGTATTGATTTTAACCATCGATTTTTCCTCTCTCAGCTTTGTTTTATTATGGCTTTGTTGAATTTACACTAAACAATCACTCTAAATTAGTTTGATATTAAGACTGTTTAATTCAAATCAATTCACTTAATGGACCAGTAAATTATAATGTGGAGCAAAGCTTAGCTCATAAATATTTCAATCCTCTGAAAACACCTTGGACAAAAGAAACTGCCATATGAGGCGTTTTGAAAAATCGTCAGCTTTGGAAACGCGTTATTTCTTATTTCATTTGTATAGCATTTGTTTTAATAATAAATTATTCTTGATTATTCTCGAATTAGATGGGATGGGTTGATTAGTAATTCGTTTGTTTTTTTTTTACAAAAAAAGGGAAAACAACATCAATAAATTATGGTAATTGTTGGCATTGGAAAATATACAATTTATCCAAGGACAGTGTTTAATACGAGACTTACTTATACATGTACATGTATATAAAGCTGTTAGTTTCTGTAGCAGACGACAATTTTACGACAAAAGAAGTCAATCGCTGAGGGTTAGTTTCTATAGAATTTTTTTCACACATTTATTCGTTAATACATTTTCTATCTAAAATAAAACAACAAGTTTCTTTATTGTACCGTACATACAGATTATTGCGTTATGCGAACACGACGAATGCTAAATGGTTACAGAAAAGACTCAAGCGTCAAACAATGTTAATATATATTTTATTCCGTTCCAAGCTTTTGTTGAGCCTGATTGAAACTGTTGTTTATTCCTGTAAGTTATTTGATGAACACATGGTTTTAGTTTCCGACGCCATCACAAAAACTACTTTCACTCAAGTACATCGTCTTGTTTTCCGCCAAATTATGTTTGATTCGTTTTATGTTCAATAGAAGCGACGTGAGCACGAGCGCGACTTTGAAGAATGAATTATACGAAGGGATAATCAAATGGCACGAGATTTACGTGCCCTACACTTTGGCACTGTGACTAGTACCTCTTAGGATTGGAAACCAATCAAAGCAGCAAAGTGCTTCACAGTTAACAACATTTTCCTCAGAATCGCGTCACACTAACGAAAACTAATCAAATCACATATACATTATTTCTTGTAACTTCGCGATTTAAGCATCCAAAGTAGTAAAGTATATATTTCAGTGAACATGAAATGTCATATCTTTGAAGTTTTCAGCGAAAGTTTTATTCGGTGAATGAGCCTTTTCAATATACATGATTTATATGTAGCCATATGTCGTATTTTATTATATTATACAATTTTATATAAGTTTATTCATATGTAGGTTATTCCCCTTTGAAGATTTCGTTTGATATGCTATTTTAGATCCATTACCGACGAAAGTTATAGTAATTAATGTTAAGTTGAGAAATGTATTGGCTCATACTTTAAATGAAAACGTCACCAATTATAGAAAATATTCCAATATCTCCTACGAATTATACATTAGCATGACAATGGGCGTTAATTTGGGCGCAGCCGATGAGCAAAAATGACCAACTTTTATAGGCATTGGCAATGATTAACGGATAAAAGAACCCAACGAGACTCTATGATTCCCATTATGAGCAAAATGAGCGGAAAGCCATATTAATACGTTAATGGGACTTAGCAGTATTCATTATAATGAGTTTGAAGCCACGTTATGACAGTGGATCAGCGTTTCTCTTGACATGTAAATCTTTCCTAAAAATCCCATAACAAGACTCGAGTGTATCTCGGAAACCCCACTCCTTAATGAAAGAAATTAATTGGAAATTTTACGTCCTTAAAGCCCCCCTATATCACTAGCAGTAATCCCTACCACTTTGTATAAGGAGTGAAATCGAAAATTTTCGAAAATTATCATGGGTTGGTATTAGTATACGTCAAATAACGTCCTTGTTGCGATGAGATAAGACGAAAGTTTTATTGCGTTAAAATCTACGGGATTTAGAAAAGGAACAACTGAACAAGATTCTCCTGTTAAAGAAAATCTGTTTTGTGCTTGAAAGTGTCATCTAATGTAGTTTTAAATGCTATACGTATTCAGATATGAGACAAAAACATTTTAATTTGTCACCGTAACAAGTGCTGTGCAAATAGAATAAACAGAAATAATGTTTACATTATCTCAGAAAAGTTCCGTGAACCCGAGAATCTCTGCAAATTAACAAAAACAAACAAGTAGCATGAGCAAATAATAAAGTTAATTTTGTAAATTAGTGAAGAGCTGTTTTATAAATAAGTTAATTTGTGATAGGAAATTGCATGATTTTATAACAAATTCTTAATGGACTTCTTTTAGCAGTGCGCATGCGCATTGAATGTCTTTCACAAACATTTTCGCCTAAAAAGGTATAGAAAAAAAGTAGAATAGATATAAAAATGACTTAGAATAGAACACCTACATTAAAAAATATCGGCTGAAGGATGTCATTTGTCACAACACACAAATATTTTCCAATTACCATCGTCAATAGCGGGTAAAGTGGCCCTGAATAACTACAAAATCTTTAGACACGGACTGAGTTTTGATTATTTATTTTAAAATTGAATATATATAAAAACCGAGGTGCGTTTAGTGTCACGCATTATAATGGGTTAAGCAAATAGTTGGGTTATTTGATATAATGGGTTAAATTTCTAACGATAAGGACGTGTAATTAAGTTATCTAATGGCTGTTTATTTGATAAATCAAGACATCTACCGTTTGACAGATACTATTAGTCGAGCGTTTAAATAGAAAATTAATTTTTGAAGATGTCTAATGTTTCTATCTTAGTCATTTTCGTCAGTTTCATACATTTAACCCCAATGCCTAATGGGTTGATAATTTCACTCACAGCGCGTTTTTATGTCTCGCTCGCATGTATTGAAGTTTTGTTAACACTTTTTTTCTTTCGTAAAAGAACTACTTAAAATATTTTGAAATGCCACTTCCTGCGTTTTAATTGCTTTAAGATGATTTTTTTATTATTTCAAAATATCGGAGACATTTCGTGTTTTGATAATAAGAAATAAGCTTTTATTTTGTCACTTAAAGTCAAGCCTCTAGTCTCTGCGACCATCAAGTTCAGGTTGATATCATAGAAAAAAGTACTTAATTTCTTACACGAGTAAAGTTTGTTTACTTAAATACCTTAACTGTTTTTAGGATGAAGGAATCATAAAAGAGTGAAAATTCCTTTTAGATACTTTATATATTTATATTTATATATATTCGCTATTTTTCCGTTTCTAGAATACAATGGTTGAGAATGGGCGTGTTCCTAGTTCAGCATCAAGTCCTCGTAGTTATTCTTCTAGTCACCCAGATCCTGATATGCAGAGGCTTGATCCAGCCACAGTTCTACAAATTCATAGGTCACTTTTACAGTCACATGATCAGTTATGGACCAATCACAGAGACGGACACACAGTGAGTATTTGTTTTCGACTAATGACCATCCTTTCTGCTTCCCTTCTTGTCAATCTTCTGTAGAACCCTGATAGCCTATTTTAAATACCCGGATGTGATGAGTCTGACGTAAGAAGCCCAATATATCAATGTGCACACGGAATAAAAAAATGTAAGAACACTTACTTTCAATACACCAAATGCAACATAAAAAAGATTTGTTGAAAAAGTAATTATAAATATTTAATGACTCGTGCTATTGTTTCTTTCACTGACTCATTGCGAAATCGGGTTCAGGCTCAATATACTTAAATGTTATTTTAAAGTTGTCTCCCCTGTTGTTGTTTGAAGTAGTTTCTGGTTAAGGGTGGCACATCTTTTCCCGTTGTTGTCATTCTTATCACACATGTGTGAATCTTTCCCACTCATATACCGTACCTTTCTCACTGTTTTAGAGTAAAATAGAAATGCTATTTTTTACGAAATATTTGTTTGTTAAAGACATTTCTTTACTATTCTTTTTGGACGCTTACATCATAACAGAACTTCATGTGAAATTGGATGAATTTTAAAGTAAAGTAGACATAGAAACAATGAAATATTAATAAATTCTAAATACCTATAAGGCCCCTTTGAGTGTGATTGACTGGTTCCAGGGTTTAAGATATACGTTAATAACGGAAAACGGACTTGGCTTCTATGTGTTGCTTGCTCTTGCTTACATATTTTATACTTCTATTACATCAGACATTTCATCATCACTTTTCTTTATGACGTCACATATAACAAAGGACCATCATATCAGAAAACAAAATAAACCGTATAAATAATACGAATATAAATACACAGTGATATTTGTCATTCGACAATATTATTTTAATTAAGATTATGAAAAGTGTTCAAAATAATATTAATTATAATATGCTTTCAAACTTTAACGTCGATTTTAAAATAATGACGGTCCTTTTGCGTGACAATTAAATACTGAATATTCTATTTAAGTCATTTTTGTTATATAATGTCATATTCTTAAAATATCAGAAAATGTTTAAGGTTTTGTCGTAAAAATAGAAATACTAATTTACTGATCTGTATCATCTGTTACAACAAACAAACATAAAAATAAAGAATGCATTAAATAGTTGGTCACAAATACCTAACAAAACGAAATTGCTCAGTGATACACCGTTTCTTTTTATTTTAATCATTTCAAATTAATCAAGCCTTTGGTCGATCCATATCGTGGGCATACTGTTTTATTCGAGGCGATGATGAATTAGATAATAAAATTGACAAACAGTTTCGTGTAGTAGACAGTATATTCAGTCAGTAACATTCGTGCGGGCCGTAAAACCATCAATAATTATGTCATCGCCGATCTTATAATTGATAAAATATTGATTTGAACATGAGTTTCTGTGTATGCAAGACTAGATAATCTAATGTAAATATCATTGCAATTATGCTATCTCTATACGAGCCTCTAGGAAATATGAAGCCGGACTTACAAATGATGACGTTATAATAATACAAGTTAATTGATTATGTTTGAGACAATGTAAGGTCGACACGTTAACCTGAATATGCTTTATATGTTGACTGAGAAAGTCGGGTATTCATTAATAATTCATTCAAACAGACTGAAATAAAAAAAGCAACGCTGCATTTAATATATGGTTAATTTTGTAGTGCTCAAGAAAAAAGAGAACACTGATAAAGGCTAGAAATGAGCAGTTTGCGATAATAAAAAATTTGGAACTCCATTGCGTGTCGATGGATAGTTGATCTAACGGATGCGGTACGGCTGGGTACGGAAACGAGCGTTGTCGCTCGTGCGTCGCGCAGTAACCCACATTGCATACATGGACGCGTAATATCGACGATTTATCAACCGTGGTATCGATATGTCAATTATTGACAGAGATAATCGTGCAATCTTTAATTTTCAGCCTGCACCCAGATAAGGCAATTTGAATAATTAGAACAAAGGGACTTGTGACATTTAGTAGGATATTCCTCTTTACAGTAATTAGGTGGCATTGATTTTGTTTATTGACATTTAATCTTTCTAAGTGGTGGGCATTAAATGCCAGTCTTCTGAAATCAAAGTTTATTGATTGTTTTTATCAACATCTTTTTCCTAAATTGCTATTACTGTTCATATACAAAAATATATTTTCTTTCCAACTTTGAAAAATTAAGTGCAATAGATATATTATTGAAAATATTCTTTGGTGAAGACATTTTCATATAATTTAATGAAAAATATAATTGTATATATTTAACAATTTCAAACATATATTTGGCGGGGTATTATATGCGATACTTGAGCAAATATTTAAAAAGATTTTTTATTCAGCGAAAAGCAAAAAGTTACTTAGACATCCGAATTGATATGTTTCAGTTTGAATGTAATCGTTATTTAATCAAAGAACGATTCACTGCACTTTAAAAAAGCAAAAGACAAACTTTTTAATGCATTTTATTTTTTTCTTTCCTGTTTTCATGGTTGTTATTGCATTGATAGTGTAGGCCTATACAGGGCGTTATGTAGATGCAAATCGTTTTAGCGGGCAATTTGTTAAATATAAAGACTTAAAACGGAAAAAAAACATTTAAAATTACACATCATTATCGTTGTAAAACGATATTATTTAGAATTAAGTGTCAAGGTTCAAGAGACGGCTTATCCGTGTTTGTATCTCGTGCGATCGTCCTATTATTCAAATTGCCATGTTGTACAATCAATACCTATTTAACAATCTCTTAGACAGATAAATACGATCTTTCTTTCTATGCTTTGATAAGACTGCGTTTGTAAAGCCCAGAATGCAAATATTTGCACATTTGTATCATTCAAGTTTGAATGTTTCTTTTATTTAAAATGCTGTATCAGTTTCATCTAACTTGATGTTTTTTCCTACTTCTAATGAATAAATATTTGATCAAACTAACAAAATTAAAGAAGTTATTAGGATTTTTTTCTATATTTTGAAATCATAAAAGTTTTTGCCTGCTTGAAAGGAAAGGAATTTATTGTAAAGATTCTGTTTTGATAGACACTTCTTCAAGCCTTATCAGGTGTTACTTTTGTAATAAATCTTGTGGACTTGGACTTTTTTTCAACAAATAAAACTGAATTTGTATTTTAGGGAGTAACAAATTAGCACAACTAGGTTGTCCTTGAAAAAGGATGTTTTGAAATAATTCAAGCTTTCTTAATTATAGTATTTGTAAGGTTCAAAGTCGGCCATATCTTGGCCTTGTCTTTCATTATACCCGCTAACACTAGTCAGTACTTTCTGCCTTACTGGACGCTTGATGGACAGCTCCCGTAGACGCTTGCATTTAATGACCAGCTGCATGGCCAGCAAATTAGTGGTTTCGGTTAAATTAGGTACTAAACGGTAGAGATTTTTAAGGTCAGTGAAATATTTTTAAACATGTCCACACCTTTCGGTCTTGATTTAATCATGAATGCATTCCAGGGGAGTCTGATAAAAAAATCTGTGTACCTTGACCTTACATAATTTACTCTCGTCTGCCTGCTTTTATCATTATCGAAGATGTGACTTTATTCCCGACGCTCTTCTCTCTCATTAATTCATTTTTGCGGACATCCTACATTTTACGAGATGATATTTTGTCTTATTTATTACACAACATAGATTTGAAAATCGCGTGACATACCGGACTATTCAGTAAAGCTACCATTAACGGACATTTAGTGGCATTTTACCGCATCTAGGTTCTGCAGACGCTCGGAATAAGAGATATCATAATTACGCAAATACAGAAATTCAAGTCAACCTAAATGAGTCAGGGACACGATGTTTACCAAAAGTAAAACCAAAAAGCGGCCAGAAGACAGAATTTTGTTTTCCCTTTTTATAAATTTCATTACAAAAAACAAACTTCAATTTAAAATTTTGTGAATCGAGTTCGAATTTTTATTTTCAAATTCTGGTAGTTGGTTTTGTAAATTAAAGTTTTGCTTCTCATTTCCGAGTACCTCTTTGAAACATTTTAAATTAAAAACTCAAGAATGAAAATAAATTTAAATTTTATTTAAAGGGGCCCTTTTTCACTTAAAACCCTTTTCAAGGGCCCTTTAAAGTTGCCTATCCTTTTTAAAAAAAGAGCAAAAAAATTTTTTTCATATAATTGTTTTAAAAACAGTTTATTTGTTAGTAAAATTTAAAATTTTGGGAAAGAATTTTTGTTCTTAAACTGCAAAAAAATGTTTTTCAAAAAAGTTAGTGCTTTTTTTAAAACAGTTTTTATTTTGTTTCATAGCTTTAACATTTTCTTATTTTTTAAAATTAAACCCAATAAGTGTTCCCTTTTTATTCCCTCAAATTTTAGTTGGTCTTTTTTTTAGTTTGTCAAAATTTTTTTTCTTTGAAATTTTTAAAAAGTTGACGGGGTTTTTTTAAAAAAAAAAGGTTTTTTGGAAAAAAAAAGACCATTTTGAAATCCAAACGTAACCAAATTTTCCAGGGGCTTTCACTTTTCCTTTTTAAATTAAAATAAACAAAAAAAAAAATTTTTGCGGTCAAATTTTCTTGATGTAATCTGCCCTTTCTTTTTTTCCGTTTTGATTATTTTTGTCTTAAGCCCCTTAACCCAAAAACCCTTTTAAAACACCCAACGAAAGATAACGGGGTTTAGCCCCGGGGGAAAAGGCCACAAGAAAAGGGGGGGAGGGGTACGAGTCCCATATTCAAAAGTCTATGTAAGTACATGCCAAAGGGAAGTAAAGAGTCATTAAAAAGGCCCCCCCTCATTTTAGAAGAAATTTTAATTTTAAATTTTTTTTTGCATTTGAATTTGATTAAACGCCAGATTTTTTTTCAGTAAAATTTTGAATTTAAAAAAATTTAAAAATTTTAAACAAATTTTGGTTAATATACTTATTTGGAAAAAAAAATCTTGGCGGTTCTTTTCTCGCGTGAAAAACCCCTAGGGTTTTTAAAAAGCCCCCATTAAAGTTTTTAACCAGGGGTAGTTGTTTTGTTTGTTTTGAAAATAAAAAAAAGAGTACAAGTTGTTAGGCGGATAAAAAGATAAACAAAGAACTTTTTATGGGGGAAATTTTGGGGGGGAAGTAAAAGCGTTTTTTTTTTCTTTCTCTTTAAAAGTGGCGTTAAAAATTTTGGCACCTGAATTTTTTAGAAAAAATTCCAAAATTGACACATTTTTTTACTTCATTACTGTTTCCGTTTTTTGGGTTTAGTGTCGGGAAAACAATTTTAACGTATTTTATGTTAAATTTTTTTGGGAAAAAAATTGAAAACTATTTTTTCTCTCTCTCTCTCTCCGTAGATAGAGTATACATCAGATTCTGTTTAAATGACTGCTCACTTATTTTTTTATTTTTTTTCTCATATCAAAAATTGGCTACTTAAGATGTGAGAATTTTTTTATCATCCATTATTAAGACATTGTTAAATAATCGAGTTTTACTTGCCAATGTTTTGCACAAAATATTCATAAAAAGGCCATATTATAATAAATATATGTTTTTCTTTCTTATTTTTTTCAGATCATATAAAGACAGTTACATTTGCCAATAAACCTATGCTGCATCATTTTGCTAAAGACAATCAATGGCGGGATGCCACTAACTTTCCATATAACAGTAATTCTTCTCATCATTTAAAGTATGCGCATCCTCCTCCAAAACCTCCGCACAATAAACCCGTGTTACCAATGAGGGACTATGTGAGGTCACCCTCAACGTCATCTAGTCATTCTCAACAAAGTGTGCCCAAGTATGGGAACAAACTTTCACCAATCAACGACGCATCAAGTCATATGACGTCTTATGATGAAGATGACGAAACGACTACGTCAGGAAGCTATACAATCGATAATGATCATGATTGGATGAATGATTCACAGCCTCCAAGGTCATACTTCCTGTCCCACAACGAGGCTTACTGCTAACTGTGATAAATAGTAAGTATTTTATTAGATCTTCCAGAATATTACAGAATATGAACATAATTAACCTTTGTAAAATAGACTTGTCCATGTTTTGAATTCGAAACATTGTTAGTTTTAGAAATTTCAATAACAAAAAGCTAGAATTTGTAATAGAATCTATATAAAGTAGCAAACTGTATATTGTACGGTCAGTGGTGTAGAGGCTTGCATCTTACCACTGTCACACAAAGCGTTAATGACCAACTTTTTTATCTGGTCAAGATTAGATCAGTTATTTTTAAAATAGATCTACTAGATCTACATTAATATGAAAAGGGGTAAAAAAGTGGTCAGTTTCGTGAAAAGGCATTCTTGAATATTATGAATAAGAATTTAGATTTCTAAATACTATTCTTTAGAATAAGCAAACTCGACGAGTTGAGAGCTTATTAGAAAGCGTATTATTCTTCTAGGAAAAAGGTACAAGTTATATATGCATGCAACGAATTAACAGTGTTTTTTTTCTCTCTGCTTGCAGGATTTATTTTGTATCCAAACCATGTGCAATATGAACTGATATGTGACGAACAGATAGGCCAGTCTAAAATAATTGTGAGTATTTTTTAAACTTTTATTTCAATTTTGTTTTAAAATAAATGTAGTCTAGATGAAATAGTGCTGTACAATCAGTTATTAGGACTAAGGATGACTCAAATATTTATGTATATATAGTTCCTAAAATAATATTTTTTTGGCTTTAGTTTTATTTTAATTTCTGTGTATTTTAATTATTTTGGAACCTATATTATATTATTAATTGTTTTCGTAAGGGTAATGAAGAAATGTTGCAAATTGAATGTGCATGAAACTTTGTAATTATAATATATTTATTACATGTAGATCTAACACGAGTTGCTATATCATATAAATATTAAATTAAAAGTTTAAGAAATTATTAAAACCATAAAACGAGCCTCTGGACAAATTCAATAAAAGTTATCTTGTGTGACAATTATATGAGATTCCACATGACTAAATGCATTGAGAAGTTAAGGAAAATAAAAGTGTTATATGGCGTTTTATACACTCCGCTTTCTCAGGACTACCCATATAATGAATAAAAGTATTACAAGGAAAATAAATGACGGGATATATATGATAATATTACGTAATTCATTCCAGATACTTGTATAAAAGTTAATAAATTAACAACTGTAAGATAGGCAAAAAATGGTAAAATAGTAAGCCTTACATCAAAACTGAATATAAATATTACTTTTACTATTATTCTTTAAATTATATTTTCATTTATTTTCTATTTTCAGATACTTCCTGTGACAAAATGGTCGTGGATTAATTCCAGTGTTGGTACTTTAGCTACATGTCGTGTCTTCCATTTTGATTGTTGTTATTGTTGTTTATTCCTTCTTTGTGAAATCCATTGTTCCATAATGATCTATAAGATCGAATTATATGTAATACATTATATGATCTCACTACTAAAATGTTTTGCTAAAAGTATGTACAATGTACATGTAATATGAATGTTGAGTGACAAATTAGTATTGTGACGTAATGAAAGTATTGTTTAAAACTTGCTATAGATATATAACTATGTTGATCAAATTTGGATACTTGAAAATTTTATCCTAATTTTATCGTTGTGCAGACGATAAAATTGAGTTGCAGACGATTATATATATACGGTTGCTGCAGATTTTTTTAAAAATTAAGCTGTAGATGTTAAATAATTTGTGCTACTGATGAAATAAATTTGCAGACGATAAAATTCATATATGCAGCAGACGACACAATTAAGTGTTGAATATGAATGATGCAGGTGATGCAATAAAATTGCAAAATTAGCAAATGAATTTATGCTGGCCGGCAAACGACAATGTAAATGTGCACAGTTAAATTACAGACGACAATTATAAGATGCACTTGACATAAAAAATATCGCCGTATATTAAAAAATTGACACCAAGTTTAGTGTACGTGAACATGTCACCAATTAGAGCTAGAACAGAATGCTAACTGTACGTCTATGAAATTAATGATATTTTTATTTCACTGAAACTTTATATTTTGAACAAGTGCGGTATATAATCAAATCTCTTAATAATTTGTCATGTTAAAAGGTATAAATAGAAAATGTTTTAACTGGTGCAATTGTACATGATTGTGTAATTGACTTAAACTGTCTTTATATTTTCGTATACCAGTTGTCAGATATTATTCCCATGCATTCGCAGACGGACTGTATTTAACCATGTATAAAATGTGATATTTGAAATAATTGATTTATATATATGTATGAAATATAAATACAGCATTAAGGTGCTATTTTATTATAAAATATAAAACAATGAAATGAAACAAAATATGTTGTTGTTGTAAGTGTATTTAATATTTTTTGGTTTGATATTGGACACCGAATAGTCAACAAGATATGAATATCATATTCTATTATAAAACAATTTGGAGAAAAAGTGATCCCTCGGAAGCAATAAATCACAACAAAATTACATGAAAATTGCAGACTCAGTTTGATTGAGTCTGTGCATATTGTATTATTAAAAGTACAACATTCATCACACACACCCCCAGCACCGGCATGAGCGGTAGTCAGTTTTGAACACTTGAAAATGCTGGAATCAACGATCCCGAAGAATCAGAAATAGTTTGAAATACGTAATAAGATTTCCTGACACTGTCAAATATCAAAGTGCAATATCATTGCTTAACTGGTGGCTGAACATTTCAAATGCGTTTATATGCAATATTTCAGACAATAAAAACGTCTATGTTCCTTATGGGATTCGAACTCAACCAGTGACCTTAATCAGTAGTTAAATGGCCCGTTTGTCCTTTGACAAACATATAAACTAGAGAACCACTACATTGGCAGTTTGTTTAACCAATAGAAAGAAAAATCTATGAAACTATGAACAAGCTCAATTCGTTTTTAAGATTAAAAAACAACAACAAAGTTTAACCGGCGAAAAGCTCCAAAAAATCAATGAGTGAAGTGAACTTCAACATGTCTTACAAGCCCTTTACGAGCACCTGCTATTTCCGGTCACTGTACTTTTCTTGTGAGCCTAGATATATTAACTTTCTCTTCCAATAACCGGAAGTGGATTAGTTTATACACTTAGATAAAAGTTTTAAATATTGCGCGTGGTTTTTCGTATTCTTGTGTTTTAAACAAAAGACTTGTATGTTATATAAAGGCACATTACCCCTCAGAAGCAAATAAACTTTTACTTCTTTATATAGGGTAAACATGTTTGGAGAAATGTTAGATGCTTGTTACCTGCAAAAGTAGCGATGAATGTGAGATAATGTGTCATAAAAGTAAACAAATTAGTATTTTGACTTCCATACAAAATACTAATTCACTATAACAAAAAACAACAGATGAACAAGATGGTTCCGGTAATTGGCCAATGATTAACTTTTTGGATACTTTGGGAGTAGACCAAAATTTTAAAAAAGCTTTTGAGAAATAAAAAAGCATATCTGAGGCATGGCCTTTGAAACAGAATAAAACGTCCCCCGACTGTTAGAGATCTGATAGCACGATGATTTCGTTCGTGCACCACCAAGTTTATCGGAAATCTATCAACATTATACTTTCAATTTAGATATTTATTATGAGTATGAAGATACTAATATTTGATATTCTACCTTTAAAAACCCAAGATTATACCATTTAAAGTGAATTGGTCTATAAAAGAAGGACTAAAATACAATGAATAATCACATTGATAGTATTAAGTATTAGACATAAAAACAATCCACGAAAACAAAATTCATGGACGTTTTTGGCAATTTTAAGATATATGATCCGATATTACATATATTTATATAGGAGAGAATAAAAAATTTGAGCCGTGTCATGACAAAACCAACATAATGGGTTTGCGACCAGCAGGGATCCAGACCAGCCTGCGCATCCGCGCAGTCTGGTCAGGATCCATGCTGTTCGCTTACAAACCCTATTACAAGTAGAGAAACTGAAAGCGAACAGCATGGATCCTGATCAGACTGCGCGGATGCGCAGGCTGGTCTGGATCCATGCTGGTCGCAAACCCATTATGTTGGTTTTGTCATGACACGGCTCATTAATGTGTCCTAGAGTTAAAGTATTATTATTCATCATATAAATGGTCATTCTAAATCATTTAGTCATTTATCAACATTTTTAAGAAAATCTAAATGATAATTTTCTATTATTATTTTTTATCAGTATTTGAAATACTAATGGAAAATGTGCCCATTGTAGACATTTACTCTTTAAGCTATTTGTTATAAAAAGAAAGATAACAACAACAACAACAACAACAACAAGACCAAGGACAACAAAAACAACAAGAAACTTTTGAAGGCATCACTTCGCCCATATTATCACATCTGTAGACATTATACAGCCTGGCAAGGCTATAAACCCCTGGTATAGTTGTTACCCTTTTTATGGTAAGTTCATAAAATAGTCAATACAGGTTTTAAATTCAAAACTTATAAGGAAAAAGGATAATTATACAAATTTTTAAGCCCAATGACGCATTTTTTCTTAACAAAGGTCAACGAATATGTATAAAGTATACGCAAAAGTCATCTAAATATGCAATTCACATCTTTGGCTCAAATTTGGTATTTGAAAATATTGACAATTGCTACACAGTGTTTTTATAAATTAAAGAGTTTTGTCGGTAAAGGGAAGCTACACAATAAAACAACTAACGATTTCTCGGTTAAGAGTTACTTCCCTGATGTAACTTCCAAGGCTGGCGTTTTGCAATCGTGAGAACTCGTGTAGTTAAAGTGTGAAGTTGCGGCATGGCGTCGGACTAGTAATCTAATGATCGCTAGTCGTTGTTTCGTTCAGCAAGAAACTCAGTACTGGTTATGTCCAGGAACGGATTCGAAAGTGTGTCTAGACACAATCAAACTAAAACAAATTCTGTATAAACCAAAATGTGTCCACCGTGTTTCTTTTTAGAAATTTCTTACCGAGCAATGCTGATTGAAAAGTTCAAGATTATAGATAGAAAATTCCAAGGTTAATTGCAAATAAACTATGGAACGGCATACTAAGATAGAAAGTGACGTGCTACCAGTTGTATAGAAAGTTAGGTCCTTCCAGATGGATAGACAGTGAAGACTTTTGTGCTATCAGATTTTACAAAATGTGTTCGGGAAATCACATACAGACTTTAGATACATTCTAAGTATTCTGGGTGGCTAGAAAGTGACTGCGGAAACATTAAACTTTAAGCATCGCTATGTTGTTAGGAAGCAGTTATGAAGTCGAGTGACAAGAAATCAAGTAACAAGAATTTGGAAATCTGTATCCGGATAAAATTTTCCCTCGATACAGATTACCTACAGATAGCAAGCCATTTTTTATTAAGAACATGTATAATGCAAGATTTGAAAAAAAAAATGGTCTCCTTGATTCCAAGGTTTTACATAGCACACCTGGCTTACTTGCACAGTTAAACGCTAAATACAGCACTGTCATCTTAATAACTGATTTGAAGTAAATAAAAAGTCTGCTTACATACAGTAAAACAATATGCAAAATATAAATATCGCGTTGTTTTATTATCACATTTTGCAAGGCCAGGGGGAGGAAATAAGAGACATGTCTATAGAACTGTTATACTAGTTACCTCCCTTTAATAATTTTGCTTTTCAAACTATAGGTGAATTTAAAAAAAAAGAACAACAAGAAGCCCCGCCCATTTCATTGGTATAAAGGTCGCGTCATTTTATTGTCATATTTTGCAAGGCCAATGAAAGGAAATGAGAAATGTCTATAGAACTGTTATACTTATTACCTCCCTTCTATATGTTTTTTAATGTTTTTATTCGATAAGAGGCAAGCATACCATATGTGAATTAATATAAAAACAAAATTAAGTCCCAATCATTTCGATGGGTCATACCATGATATGTATTATAAGCGTATATTCAAGTGATATATAATATCTGGGACTTAATATTTTGTCCCTGATAATACATCATAATATAGTTAGGAAATAGATATCAATTCTGAGTGCATTGTTGTAGAATAAGTAATAGTTACCGTACGAGGAATAGGTCTGCATAGTATTTACAGACCCGGGTGGCGATTTGAAGACCGAGAGAGCGTAGCGATCGAGGTTTTTTAAAGGCCACCGGGTCTGTAAATACTATGCAGACCTATTCCGAGTGCAGTAACTATCTTACCTACATGCTCTTTTGTTTTTCTATCCATACATCAGTTTTTAGCTTATTATTTATTAACATTACTCACAAGAAACATAATTATTATTTATGTACTTTATCATGTTTAAAAAAGCATTCCAAAGCCAAGCAAAGATACTATCCGCTACGCTCTTGTAATTCATTCGTTCACAAATCAGGTGTTATTTGAATATTCTCGTGATTTTCGTGGGGTTTCATTATGTAATTAGGTCAGGTAATGTACTTGTTGCATTGAGTTGTGAGAAAATGAAAACAGAACTTGTCGAGTAGGGAAAGGTAAGATCATTTTTTTTGATATATGAATACATAACATATTAATGATATAAACAAATACTGAGGAAGATAAAAATGTTTTCTAATCATAAAAACGGAACACTTTATCTTTATATATAATAAATTTCATACTAAATAAATGTTCAGGCTATTTCTTATATAATTAAAATATACGATTTTTTCAAAGGAAAGTAAAAGACGGGGTTCTATGAATAAATATTAGTAATACATGTAGTTACACCGTTATTTACGTTGGGTTTCGTTGTTGTTTTTTATGATGGCTGATTTTAAAGGTTCTTAGAATTTCACCCATGTTTGGAAGAATTTTCTTTCCGCGTATTCTTAATTAGCATCATCCGTTATAAGACCGCATGTAACCACGCGGTCTAGAATGGAAGCGCAAGTCGTAATCTTGGTACTGGTATACAAAATCCAAATTGTAATGTAAAAATAACTGGGAAAAAATGAGAAAAACGGTCTTATACTTAAGATGAACTATACTCTCACTGAAAGTAATATTTTGGGAAAGATGCAGAAATTGACTTTGATTCGATATGCACCAATAATATAATCGTCGTATGTATCCCATAATGCAGAATTGTTAAAATAATGCAGGATTGTGTAAATTCAGACATAGCTGTGGAAATAAATACCGAAAATTAGTATCTTATGAAGCTATATAGTTCGGCAAATGTGTTAGGTATACCGAAAAGCAAACTTTAAAGAAAGGCTTAATGTGCGTTTTTATACTCATTAATATCGGCGAAACACAAAACTTCAACGCCAGAACAGTAGCCAGTTCGTTTTTCTCACAAATAATCTGGAATATAAGTTATGAGGGTCCTTACAGCCGTATGCGCTAATTTATTTCGATTTATCTTTAAAATATATATCGACCCTTTTTCCTATTCAAAGTGGTCATTATCCCCCCCTCCCCCATAATTCAGCGTTCTTTCACGATGAATATTGTGTACTGTAATGCACGAGTTTCTCGACTTCACATATTTTCTATTGTATAGAGAACAATAGAACAATAACCGGTCGGTATCTATTTGCAGACCTGTTAACCGGTCGGTAAGTGATTTACTAGACCGCTTTTAACAAAGGAGCCGGTAGGTAATGCACGGTTTGAGTTCAAATGCGTAGTAATATAATCACGAAGGCCGATAGGCCTGAGTGATTAATTACAACGCATTTGAACGAAAAACGTGCATTATTATACATTATTATATGATCTAAATATAGCTGCAATCTCATTGGTCCAAACAGTAGTCAACAGAACTTTTTATAAAATCATATTTACTGGGTGTAGTATCATATTCACTGGCTGAATTGGATTTTCCCAGTCAAAAAATAGATTGAGACTCATATTCAATGATCATACACCGTAGACTGTTAAATACGCGTGTTACTTAAAAAATAATTGTTGCTTTTTGTTCTTTATGGCATATTTCTCGATTAAAATATCAATACATTACCATTTTACTTAAAGGCTACACCGCAATGATGAGTATAAACTTGAATTACTTTTGTATGCGCAGCATTTGCGAAGTCGTTGCACGCCTAACACGTGCGTCTTTTTTCCCGCGCTTCAACGAGGCAAAATTTGTATGATGTGATATTCACCGGCAGAAAGTCATATTGACCTCGGCTATCGCCTCGGTCAATATGTCATCTGCCGGTGAATATCACATCATATTCAATGGCTCACTAGTCAATAATTGTATAATAATGCACAAAGGAATTATATCTATTTCCATTCTAACACGTCAAGAAAAAGTATAATTATTATTATAAAGTTGGACTTTATGTTTGGTGGATAAATCTGTTTTCGCCTAAGAGTTTCCAATAGAAACGTTCTTTAAAGGCTGTTCCAGTGGATTGAAAAAAACTGTCGTTAAATCTACTGTGTGTAGAAACATTTTGAGAATAACGAATTTTGAAAACGTTGATAAAACTTTGTTTGCTCATATTATTTCACTCCATAAGTTTTCAAGCGAAATACAAATTATTAAAAGTGAAATAAATGTTAAACCTAACTCGTCTGCGATATTAAAATAACGTACTTGATTTGATTGTTTTGCACGTGCTGTTTGGCGCAACATTGTGACGTCACGTAAACAACACTTTAAACGTCTGTACAGCGTTAACGACTAAAATTAAAGATATTGGTGTTCGATTTCATTTTCTTAGTTAGACCATTTTCTATCATTCTAGGTAGTTTTCACAACAAAATTCGACAAAAATTGTTTTTATTTATCAGATTTTTAAACAAAATGGCGGCCTCAATGTGAAAATATACAGGGAGATAATAAGAACGGCGAGTTTTGTTTGTTTGTTTGTTTTGGGTTTTACGTCACATCGACACATTATAGGTCATATCGCGACGTTCCAGCTTTCCTGGTGGAGGAAGACCTCAGGTGCCCTTCCGTGCATTATTTCAGGCACGAACGGGCACCTGAGTAGAACCACCGACGTTCCGTAAGCTAGCTGGATAGCTTCCTCACATGAAAGAATCCAAAGTCCCTGTCGGGATTCGAACCCACAGCGGTGAGGGGCAAGTGGTTTGAAGTCAACGACCTTAACCACTCGGCCACGGACGCCCCCAAGAACGGCGAGTGCATTGTTGTAGAATAATGCATGCTTCCGACCTTCTTTGTCTATATAGGAAAATTTCCGATAGTGTTAGAATGATATATAGAATATAATAATATATAAGACTTTAGTAATAATATAATCTTGTAGCTTTCTTCGAGTTATTCGCCAAACGAGGTTCGTTTAAGTACACCTCGTTAACAAATTGTTTTAACAAGTTCTGCGACTACCTCCTCTAGCATCTGCTAGATAAAAACAATGTCGGCACAAATTCAGTCATCGTTAACAAAATACAATCACAGTAATTCAATGAAAATGAAACTGTTCATTATTGCATAAAAAGTAAAGTGTCAACTTTGCTCTCAATATATACTTTCTCAAAATGCAAACGTGTCATGTTGTATTTAAGTTAAGCTAATATATGCAGCAAAACTGGAACAAACGACAGCACGAGCACACCAAGTACTATTTTATTGAAGAATAAATAATTTGCATTAATTTAATATTGACACGTAAACAGAGGCGATAACTGTAGCAAACTGTCCTTATTTTCGACTAGTGTACATAACCAAAAGCTTACATAAGAAGTTATCTTTGTAAACCAATTGCATACAAAGTTCCCCTGTCGATTGGGCACAGAAATATTCTTGACTTCTTATCAACCCAATTCAGTGATATCACACTTACAATATATTGTTCATGAGTATTGACCCATGGGCGATTTAGTACATGCAAGCCTGTGTCATATAAAAGGAGATACAACCAAGGGTTGTGAGGGTTAGAGAAATCAGCTTCTCAAACATAAAGTTATACGAATACAAGAATGATGCGACTAACTTTCACAGTATACGTTACATTTGTGACAATTTGCATCGTGAGGTCATCGAGAATTCACGAGACAACCGATAATGAACTTAATGAAAAAGTGAGGAATATAATTGAAAATATTCTTCAAGAAAAGCAAATAACAAATGGAGGAGAAAAAAGTGGCAGAAATGTGGACATGAAAGTTGAATATCTTGAAAATAAATTCAAAGAAATGGAATCTAAGCTCGCGGAGCAAGAAAAAACTATCGCCAGTCTGAAGAATGTGATAAAAAAGATGGAGCAAGAAAAGGACAAAGATATCATAATAAAAGACTCAAATGGAAGCAAACGTAATAGCAGTAACATTGTTGTCGAAGAAGAAGACACACGAGACGTAGACGTTAGTCAACTTATTGCACCGGAAAGAAGAGCGAAGAGGGCAACAACAAATATTGCTTTTTCAGCTTACTTGACCCATACGAATTCTCATACAGTTATTGGACAACCAATAAAATTTGACCACGTGCTTATCAATGATGGACAAGGCTATAACAATTATACGGGCTCGTTCACCGCGCCTGTTGCCGGTGTTTATTTATTCACGTTCTCAATCGACTCCGGAAAGACGACATTTGTTAAACTTGTTGTTAATGGCGTGAACCAAGTCGATGTTATTGCAAACCCTCACACAAACGTTGCTGACAAACGTCTCTCGCATTCGATGGGCGGAAATACCGCCATCGTGCGTGTGGCCCAAGGTGATGCGGTATTGGTGGAAACATATGAAACTGCAGACGGTCAGGTCTCATCTAGTGATACGTTCAGGCTCTGTACGTTTTCTGGCGTACTCCTCTACTAACTTTGACTTCTTGGGGGTAGAAAAGTTTATCATGTTCATTTTGAGGCGGAGATAAAACAATAGAAAATACTATTTTGAAAGTTAGCCTTTTTACAATCGATTGACAGATCAAATAGTATGAATATCATTTGTATTTTAATGGATTCCTTACATTAAAGATGATTAAACAAGATAATATAAATCAATAAACTTGTTATACTTGTTTTGTTTTGGCATTTAACGCACATTTAAAAATAATGCGAAGACATTGTATGTTTAACGAGTTAACATTGATATGAAGTTGCTCCTTTTGTCTTATTAGATAAACCATGATTGTAATTTTATAATTATATACATATGTCTCCGCAAGACCTTTTGTATGGAAGTCATTCCGAATGTATAATAATTATTTTACAATCCATGTTTAAAATCATTCTGACCAGTATTAAAAATGGTAATTTACCTTCAAGAGGGCCTACAGTCAATAGCATACAAATGAATTTTGATTGCATTTGATACGTAACATTTCCTAATAAATATAGGATGATATAATCATAAGTTAGAGAACTGTCATAAGTCAGCGTTTAGACTGACATGTATATATGAGTAAACATTTCAAAATTTCAAAGGATTCAAGGGAAGACTATCTGACGTGAAAATGTTATATAAGTGATCTCCCTTTAATAAATGTTCTAGGCAGATAAATACATTAACATATATTTTTAAATAAAAATAATAAAAGGGGCGATTCCCAGGATTAAGTGCAACATCTCTCTTTGACGCCCTGAGCCCCGGATCAAGCGGTATTCAGTCTTTAAAGGGAGACACAGGCAAACTTTTCATCTCTTAGTTTTGGATTTTTCATTCATTATTCTATTATTGCCCCCAAAGTGAATACATTAGACAGTCAAAAGAACAAAACTTTTCTCTGTATAAAAAATAAAATGGTGGTTTCCTAACTTGACCCGCGTGGGTCAGGTTAGAGCACTAGGATTTCACAAAAGTTGTCACGGTGAACTCTGGAAACGTTAAAGAACATGTCAAATGAATGACTTAGACTTGTTTCAATCCTACAATATCCACAATATCTTTTATTGTAACTTCAAGGGTTTATTCAAGTGACATGACTTGTTTTAAAACTATTCGGTGATTTTATTGGCGTCTAAATTTTGTTCAATAAAATATATATATTTATGCTTCAAACCCAAAATATGTAGAATTTAAACAGAAATTCATGGTGGAACTTTAAGAAATGTCATTTTAGCGTGATTTGAGTACATAAGATCATTTTGATAGTTTTGTCATTATTTTGCCTGAATATCACTAACATGCTTAAATACAAGAATGATTCACAATGAAGAAGCAACAAGACACAGCCATATCTTATTAAGTGGTTACATTTTTAACCCTGAAGGCTCCGTTATGGAGCTCTCCATTTTTGGACTTTTGATGAATCAACTTTGAGGGTGAAATACCCTCTAAGTTGATTCATCAAAAGTCCAAGAACATGTTTGATATTGCCTTTAGTGTTTAAGATTTGTAAATTTGAAAATATCACACAACAACTGAACGTTAAAGCATACAATTAAAATAGTTTATTCAAATGATGTACAATAAGTAAATAATTCCAGTGAAAAAAAGTATCCGTATGAAATTTTATTGTGAAGACATTAAAATATCTATTACTGAGAGAAACAAGCGTATTGCCATTATAACTACAGAAATGATATCAAACAGACAATAAATCAGAAGTAAGTAATAATACTCTGATATGTAGTTCATCAAATAAACACTTTTATTGAAAGAAATAAAAACAACAACAAAAGTACATTATTTTTTAAAACCTTAAAAATTCAATATTTTTTTGCAAATTGTAAAGTTTTTTCTAGTGATGAATTTCAGGGTATAACAACGTCCCACAGAATGTACTAAGACGGTATTTATCACTAGACGCCACCTCCCCACTGACGTCATAAACTTCGACAAGGACTGATTGGCCAACTCCAACATGTATTATCGCAGAATTACCACTCATGTTCTCTCTATCCTGTGTATTAACATGAGGGTTTGTGACGGCATCCACGACATTCCTACCATCAACGTTCAGACGGACAAACGTATGAACACGAGAGTCGAATTGAAACATGAATAGGTAAGTTCCGGATATAGGTGCAGTAAATGCGCCAGTGTATGAATTGTAGCCGGCACCGTCATTCAGATGAACTCTGTCGTACTTGATAGCTTGTCCTGGAGACATATGCGAATTTGTGCTCGAAAGATAGGCTGAAAACGCTATATTTGGTATTGTAGCTGCTTGAGTCGGTACAATTTGTCTTTTTCTCCTCATTGTATTGTGGTAGTTCACAAAATCTTCATTCTTGATGTCCTTGCATTTCTGGTATAGAAATTCAATAGGATTAATTAGAGAATCGTTACGAGCTTTATTGTCGTCAGTTAATTTCTCAAGTAAACCATTCGTTTGGTTATTCAAAAAGCAGATAATCAGATCCATGTCGGCATTTTCCTGCTCTAGAAATTCAATCCTTTCCTCCATCCGAGTATTTAGTTCTTTTAGCGCCTTAATTTCCTTCAATATTGTCTCAGTTCTTTCACTTTCCTTACTCCTTTCTTCTTTGAGAATGTCGGTTACCTTCTTTGTTATCAATGCTTCAATCTCACTTATGTCTGATTTAACGGAGGCACCAAGAGACATTGTTATTACACAAAGCACAGCGAGGCTTTTGACTAACATTCTTTTAATTATTAATATGAGAAATTAAAATGATAAAACAAGTACCGTCAATAGATGTACGATAGGTACACAACTTCAGTCTTTAATGTGTCTAAATAGGTACATGTGTGTATTTATAACATCACAGTTAAGACATGTGATATTGTACTTGTGATAAAATCATAACACAAGGTACATTTAAATTGGAACACACGTTGGTACACATTTACGTATATATTTAAAGATTAGCCATTCCTTAAAGTGTGTTTTGAACTGACAAAAAGTTTAAATGTACAAACTAAAATAAAGCCATTTTATTAAAATAAACTGTTATAAAACTGTCCTATTTTAACCTGGGATAAATAAACACGCAAACTTCGGTAGCTAATTTTGTCATGTGACAACGTATAAAGTTCTCGTCTAGTTACCAAAATATGTCCTAGTTCATCTATCAATAATGCTGATAATAAGGTCACAACAGTTTACATCCACGAGTTTGAAACTCAACGTTGTTCTATATAGTGTATTAAATAAGATTCATGAAGTATTATTAAAAGTTAAGTGTATCTACGTATGCAGTATAAAAAGAAATTACAGTTGACCACTACTAATAAATATTTTGACCTTAGAGAATACAGCTACTTAAAGCTACGGATTTAACAATGATTCGAATAATGTTATCATTTTATGTTGCATTGTTAACGAGTTGCATCGTGTCATCATCAGTAATTCATGAAACAAATTATGATTCGGAACTAAATGAAAAAGTAAGGACTATTGTTGAAAATTTTCTTCAGGAAAAATTAAATGTTAAGGGAGAAATAAGTAACGGACACGTAGAAAAGAAAATTGAACACCTTGAAAATAAACTTAAGCAAATGGAAATAAAGATAGCAGAACAAGACAAAACTATAGCCGATCTGAAAAGTGTTATAACCAATATGGAACCAGCAAACGATAAAATAATTGAAACGTTTTTAAACAGCTCAAATGAAAACAAACATAATAGTAGTAAAATTGATGAAGCCGAAGATATGGACGTTGGTAAATTGATTGCCCCTGGACGAAGAGTAAAACGGGCAGTTGGAAATATTGCTTTTTCAGCTTACCTGACCCAAACGAATTCTCATACAATTGTTGGACAACCAATTAAATTTGATCAAGTGCTGCTAAATGATGGACAAGGGTATAATAAATATACGGGGGCCTTCACTGCACCTTTGTCCGGTGTTTACTTATTCACATATGCGATTGACACTAGAAAATTGACATTTGTTCGACTGGTTATAAATGGTGTAAATCAAGTCGATGCCGTCGCAAATGTTCACACGAATGCTGAGAGTCGTCATTCACAATCAATGGGTGGCAATACCGCCATTGTGCATGTTGGACACGGTCAATCGGTGCTAGTGGAAACATACGAAATACCAGACGCCGAGACTGCATCGAGTAATACTTTTAGACTTTGCACGTTTTCTGGTGTACTATTGTACTGAATGTGACTTCTTGAAAGTAAATGATTTTATTTACATGTGTGTTAATAGGTCTGTAAAATTAATTTAGATATTTTACAAATGATTGTCTAATTGATGCATGTATTATGTTCATTTGATATTTTGTCTTACATTTTACAAATAACCAAGATGATATATGTAACATTATATGTTTATACTTTTACAGACTGATTTATAATATATTCATCAAATGGTTATGTGATTAAATTCTGCTTAAAAGAGTTGTTTATATTTATTTTGTCTTAAATCCAAGAACCGATGTGAAATGCCATAGGTAAAGTAATTATTTTAGCAATTCACTGGCTTGCAATGACAAATTTAAGTCTTGTTTATTGAAAGCCAGCTCATAATTATCTTATTATTTCTTCTGATGTAATGATGTGTATTTGTTATACCTAATTTTTGTCTGCAATGATAACTTCATTTTATATAATGGCTCTTTAATAAACCCATTCTTCAGGAATTGGAAGCCGCTGGTAAAACGTTATTGATAAACCATGGAAGGCAGAAATGATTTACATAGGACATGAGACATAAATGCCTTGAATTTGCATGATCTGTTAAGGCCTTATTGGATCAAGTTCAATGTCGGTCACATTTCGTCAGTATGAAATTCAAAAATAATATCAATACCTTTACCGTTTTGAAATAGTTTGTAGTAACTTAAAGTACTTTTTGTGTAGAAATATCTATAAAAACGGAAGCATTATTAAAAGAAATTACATGAAAATTGCAGACTCGGTTTGATTGAGTCTGATCTTGAGGGATAATGGAAAATATCAACATCCCTCACGTCCCCTAGTACCGGCAATCGGTATTCATTTGAAGCTTGGGTCAAAGATTCAATTTTGATGTCAGCATATGTGAAAAGTCAACACTTTGTCGTATATATGCTCAGCGGGACACAAAGCAAAAACACGATAATACGTTAAAATCGCCAATCTGCCGTATCTTTGTGTTTTCTTCTTTCGCTTTGCGAGGCGCCAGAAGAAAAGACGAAATTTACAACATTATCATGAAGCGATAAAGTGTTCACTTTGTCGTGTTTTTGTGTTTTCGTCTGGCGCCCCACGGAGCGAAAATACGACATGACACCAACCCCCTCCCCCCCCCCAAAAAAAAAAACACCCCCAAAAAACAACAAGGTTTTCAAGATTTGCAACAGGGAACGGTACTATTGATTAATATTCGAGAATTTGGTACAAACACATGTCACTATAGACAACAGACATAAAGTTGGAGAAGACCAACAAAAATAATTACGTGACCGCAATGATTATCATGCATTTTCTGGGCAATCACGTAGTGGTAAAATTAATTAAGAAATCCTTTAATTTGATAGTCAAAACAAATCGAATTGAAAGCACCATTGAAAGAGGTGAAACGGCAAGTATAAATATATTTAAATTGCTTCTGTAATTGGAAATCTCTCCCATATGAGTCGTTCATATTGTATATTTCTGGCTATTTTACTTTGATGTATCATATCCAATTCTCAAAGCATCAATTTCGCATCCTATTATATGTATTATATTAAATGTTTATGAATACCCCTTGCTTAGTTTTCCTCGTTGATATCCGTATCCAACTATCTGTGAACATTTTTTTAATTTGTTTTGTTCCTCAGTGCTGTTGCAACATGCTTTTTTATTTTGTTGTGTTATAATTATGTCCAAAACTGTATATTTTACAAGATTAATAAATTGTACAGAATACATAAATGTAGGCAATTATCGAGGAGAATTTTACTTCACAGTCAGCAATACATTAAATTAAACAAATTTGGGGTAGTCTCGAAAAAAACACGGCTATTAAAAGATGCTTAATGAAGAAGAACTTCACTTGTGTATGTCTTCCTTTCTCAACATCACAGTAAAGTTTATTTCAATCGAAATCACCTTAGATCTATCTAAAAATAGTTACATCCAGAAAATAAATCGGCTACCTTTTTACTTTCTTGTTTTGTTCGTTGGTAGTAATAATACTTTCAAACATTTGGTGATCTTTTATGAATCGAACAAACTATAGAAGTGTCATTATGGAAAAGTCATTTTGACCAGAGCAGAGTAGTGTTGAAACACACTATTAATGTGTATTGCTTTGTTTCATGAGTCGAAAAAAATGATATTCAAAAACCTTGTTCTCAAAAGAGTTATTAATATGTTTGAAATAATTTAGCAAGTTTCAATTTCATTTTCAGTTCAATACTTACACAACTTTCGGTCCTTAACTAATATGAAAAGGCATGCAGGGAAACTATGATTACTTTTTGCCATTTTTGTACAGTTATTTAAAAACGAACCATATATTTCATTAAAGTTAATCAATCGATATATTTTAGTGTTATTTGTTATATCCATTAGAAACAAGTTTTATTCAACGTCATTATTGAATCGGTTGTTTTTCCTTATAACGAATATATATGTGTATCGTATTTCTCTGAAATTACCGTAATTTCATAGCTATTCATTACGTAATGTAATGATTTATTGTTCTCACATTTTTCTTGTACTGCAAGTCTGAATTTAGTTCATTGTTTATTCTACCTGAAATGTTGGTTACCTTGCTTTTACTCATGTTAAACTATAAATGAGTAATTTTGAAAGATCAAGTGCTTAAACGTTGTTTAACCAGCCTATTGAAAAGTAGCTGTAATATTATAGTAATTTGTAGCTATTTTCTGCAAACGTAGACATTTGCTTTCAAATCTTTGGTCTGGCGTTAACCAACTTTATTGATAACAAATTTTTGGTATATATTAGAAGCAATGTATTGACAATAACAACATCAATTACTGGCGTCAATGTAGAATCAGCATGATTTAACAGTGACTAGGACATTAAAATGATAGATGACCACGTTATGTATGAGCTATAGAAAAATAAAATACTTTTATATTAATAAAAATACATTTGGAAATACATTAAACAGCATGGGACTCTCTGTTGATATTGATTTCTTGATTGCCAGGGACTCTCAAATTAGTGCCTTATTGTCCTTGTTTTAAATGCAAAAAATGACGATTGATTATCTTATTTTCCATCAATGCCTTTTTAAACATTATATGAAAATCTACGTTGCCAGTAATCACAGAAATAGTTTTAATATCATTAATCCCCTTTTTTAATGTTTTCTGCGTGTTGTTCGTAATGTGTGTGTTGTCCTCGAAAATAGCATTATAAAATGCTGTTATAGCAATCTATTGTGACCGGGGCGTCCGTGGCCGAGTGGTTAATGTCGTTGACTTCAAACTACTTGCCCCTCAACGCTGTGGGTTCGAATCCTGACAGGGACTTTTGATTCTTTTATGTGAGGAAGCTATCCAGCTAGCTTACGGAACGTCAGTGGTTCTTCACAGGTGCCCGTTCGTGCGTGAAATAATTCACGGAAGGGTACCTGAGGTCTTCCTCCACCGGTAAAGCTTGGATGTCACCATATGACCAATACTGTGTCGGTGTGACGTAAAACCCAATCAAACAAACAATCTATTACCACCATTTATTTATCATTTGCAGTGTATGTGACGCTTTTGAAAACCACGTAACTTCATTTAGTTTTCTATGAACAACAGCAATGAAAGCAAAACAATCTAATTATTGTCCAACAAACATTGACCTGGTACTCTTGCATTTGACCCTGTAGTCGGTTTATTTCGTAAATGTTATTACGATCTACTTGTAAATCGATATAAATGTAATTATCCAATTGTTAAAATGGTGTTAATTAAAAATCCCTCTCAGCGCATTTTGTAAAGGGGTTTCGCTTGAACAATGTAGAAGATTTTATCCCGTTTCATTGATTTATTTTTAATTTTATTTTTAAACAATGCCATTCTCTTACAACTATTGCAAACCGTTTTTGTTGTGTGTTCAATCTGTGTAGCATTTTTATGCCCCCGGACATATAGTAATTGAACCGTCCGTCCGTCCGTCTGTCTGTCCGTCCGTTCGTCTGTCCGTACGAGGTAAACCTAGAACGGCAAGTTGGATTTTTCTTAAAGTCTACCTGTACCAATGGCTTCTTAGTTTACACACTAACTTATCAATACAAAGTACATGATCTGGGCAAGTAACATAACTCTGGCTTTCATTTTTACCAAGTTATTGCCCTTTTCAGCACTTAGAAAATGAATAATGGTTAACCTAAAACGGCAAGTTGGAAATATCTTAAGTTCTATCTGAACTAATGGCTTTATAATTTCCACACTTACTTATCAATACAAAGTACATGATATTGCCAAGTTATATAACTGTGTCATCCATATTTCCCAGTTATTTCCCTTTTTTCACTTTGAAAATAGGGCCTTGTCTGGTTAACCTATTTCGGCAAGTTGGATTTATCTTAAATTTCTCATAATTGCTTAATTTCTTTAATGATATCTTTCATATTTAGTAGGTGGATACCTTTGATGGTTCTCTAATTTTTTGTGGAGTAAGCGTTCTCTAGGGTCAAGGTCACTGGTTAAAAAAATAAATATAAACATTTTTGCTCATACAGCCTTTATTTTTTAGTTGATGTTTAATTTCATTAGGGCTTTAAGAAATGTCCATCATAGAGTCTCCCTTGGTCGGTCAGAAGTAATCAAAAGAGGAAAGTGTAGTGTCTAACTGTAAAAGGGTTGAACACTAAGCATGCAGTATGTCTTAAAATAGTAGGGTCATAAGACACTTTAGTACTTTGAGGGCAATCTCTTGTTCAAATGTTGTTAATTTATCAAAATATTGGACTCTGTCATTCAAATAGCGTCATATTTGGTACGTACATGTTCTTATGGTTATCTAATAATTGAAAACAAGTTTCGTGCCAGTAGACGGGACAAGAGCGCAATTAACAACAGAATGATTGCGATTACGTTAGGTAGTATTTTCATTTTTTGTTGTTTGTAGTTGTTTTTTGTTATTGTTGTTCTAGGTTTTTGTGTTTTTATAGCTGTTTTATGAATTTACGAAAGTGAAAATAGCAAATCACTCGTTAAAATGGACATAAAATATTTTAAACATAGCTTTCTACAATGGTAAATATGACAAAAACGCACTGACAATTTGGCAACAAAAGTTTTTTTAAAAGAAAACGCTATCTATATAAGTGTTTTTATTAAGGTTGAAAATAACTTATAAAGTACAATATCTGCAGAGCAAAGCCCAATTGAAAGACAAAGAAATGGAAATAATACTCTTACATGTCGTCTATGCTGTATGTCAGGTACCAGTCCGAATTTCAAAACCTTATCAGTCAGTCAAGCTCGTCCGAAATTTATGATCTTTTATTTTGGCAGCAACTCCTTGTTTTCCTCGTGATGTGTACAATGATCGCAATATGTATCTGACATAATATTTAATTCTGTTCAAGTTAACGCTTTACTGAGTGCATGGGTCTGCAATTAAAGTCACCTTTAGCTGCTACTTATTTAATACGCTATAAAGAAAAATAATTCGCTTGTCATTACACAAATATATTTGTACGTACTTTTCCTTCAACAGAATGTAAAATGACCGAAATTACATTACAAATTGTATATTTTAGGTTTTTGATATGCCTGCTGCATTCCTTTCCAAAGACATCTGGTAAGCATTAAATACATGGTTGTATCACTTTCGGTCCCAAAACAAAGAACCGTATATTGCTCAGATTACGTGGTAAAATGAGAACCTGTTTGCTGGACTACTTTTTATCTAGCGTCACTTTTTACAGTTTTTTTTAACTTTAAGCAGAACGCTAGGTAATAATAGAAATGAAGCTGAACTTTACTATGACGATAACACAGTAGCATATGATAAAACAATCTAAAATATTTTATTCATTGTACTTCTTTATAAAACATTTACTTTAGACGCCTTGCAGTGTTACAATTGTACCGACATTGCTGACGTTGATGAATGTCTCACAGTGACAGAATGCCATGCCGGTCAGGTAAATATCTAATTGTATTATAATGTTATATTGGTCAAAGAAATGTTCTACCACAAATTCGCATAATATAATACTATTCTGATAAATATTGACACGTTTTTGAATTTAATAATGTTAAAGTAAATATTGACGAATGAGTGTCAGGTTATTGTCAAAGAGAGAAAAATGATATATAAATAGTCAGGAAGATACCTTTAGTATGACAATAAAATTCCATGCCGGGCAGATACAGGATTCAAAGTTACAAAGACATTTCAGAACTCGGGTATTCATTGACATTATTTTAATAAAAGTGTTGAAATTTCGAAACGCATAACCCAACAATGTATAAGTGACAACATATACATGTACCAAGACATTTTTATTGTTGTTGCTTTTCTTGTTTTTTGTTGTTGTTTTTTTTTTGGGGGGGGGATGGGGGGTTTGTTGTTGTTGTAATCCTGTCATTTAATAGAACAATGCAAACGTATGTATTCTTTTATCTTTATTTGATCTGATGAAACAATCTATTATTGTTACGGCAAAACAAGAACAAAAGAAGTGGATAAGCAAAGTAATATTGGTAATGTTATATACAGTACTGCTGACATTATTCTCTTTTTTTCCGTTATCAAGATTAGCTTAATAAGTTATTAAATTCAAATGATTGGCTATCATTATAATAGTCATTGATAAAAAAATTTGATAAAATAATGGTTTATAAATAATGGTAATAAAAAAATCAAAATTGCCTAAAATGTAAAAAAAGACTGTCCCACTTTTTTATAAATCGAACGTTACTGGATATTAATGTAATATTTCGCGAGTCATGTAGGTTATTGATTAATCCGCCAAATAGAATACAAAAGTATGGCAAAAAAATAAAGTTTTTTTTTTTACTTTCACATGTGCACTCACTATTAATTTTACTCTACGATGGGCATAATGTCGGCGTTCAATCAAATTTCCGGTAAAGGATTTCTCTCACATATTTGTATTAAACTTCTGTTACAATCATCATATTGCCATTCTTGAGAAAAGTACCCGAGACGCCTACAATATAAATTTAAAGCCCCATTCTTCACTCCCTTCATTGCTGCACTCGCGCCTTGATTAACTGGTGATTTGGTTGTCTGTGTTTTGTCGCTGTCTGGCTCTAGTCTACCATCTTCTAATTCTGTATTGCTATGAACTGTTGGTTGATGGTAAGTAGGGGTGGAATTTTCGTCTACGGCTTCCGTTACAGTGCCATGCTGGTGTCCGGCGCCTAACCAAAATCCGTAACCGGAAGTCGGAGTAGGCAAAGAGTTACTGATCGACGCCATCTTTGTGTCAGTATTTTTAGTTGTGTGTGGCAGCGAATGCATTTCATGTTCTTCTATCTCTGGATTAATGAAGAACCCCCTACCGGATTTTAACGCTAGCTGTGTAACACCATCTGTACTGGACTTGTCGTCTGCAAGACTGTTTACAGTAGTCAAGGCTACATTAAAACAAAGTTGTTAATTAGTTTGAATCATCATACCATCGTGAAACAGCAAATCAGAATCCCTAAAGACAGTCCAAAACGGCAAATTTGAAAATAATGAAGGTTCGGTTTGATTGAGCCTATTCATGGACAGAAATGAAAGATGCAAGTTACCGTCTACGTCCTTAGTACTGGCTTAAAATAAAAAAAGTATGGTAAAGTATTGAACTTAGAAACATCTGCAATTGTGTTCATGCGGCAGTTACCATTGTAACTTCAATGTGACAAATTCGTACCTTCCAGGAAAAGCGGCGTATGGCCACAAAGAATTTGAATTCGTGTGTCCTAAATGAGAAAACAATAGGCGGAATGAAATAAAATGAGCCGCGTCACGACAAAACCAACATAATGGGTTTGCGACCAGCATGGATCCAGACCAGCCTGCGCATCCGCGCAGTCTGATCAGGATCCATGCTGTTCGCTTACCAACTCTATTACATGTAGAGAACCTGATAGCGAACAGCATGGATCCTGATCAGACTGTGCGGATGCACAGGCTGGTCTGGATCCATGCTGGTCGCAAACCCATTATGTTGGTTTTGTCATGGCACGGCTCAAATGATATCTTAAAAGAGGATCAGATGTTTAGAAGCTTGTATGAATTTAAGAATATAAAAATACATCAGAAAAAAAAAGTTAAATATTGTAGAACTTACAATGTGGCGTTTGGTCAGTATGCTCATTTTGCCCATCCTCTAAAGCGTCCTTAATAAAGCCCAAGTCGTGAGCAAGCATTTTATGTTCAGCAATACAACATCCTGTCAAAAGTAAAATCTACCAAATTATAAATTTCAGACTTTTAAAATAATTCTATCTTGCATTTGGTGGTACATGAAAAACTTTTGCTCAACTTTTCGCTGTTGAAAATGTTCACAATTTCTCTCATATATTCCATATTCACTAAAAATACTTTCTTTTTTTCCATTATTCAGCGAATGAATAGGCTTAAACAACATTAATTCAAGGTCAATTATTGTGAAAGATTATAGCTTGGACCACCCTTAGTAGATTCGAAAGCACGACCCGTATCGCAGAAAAGTTAACATTAAGTAATTCATTTCCACAATGTCTGTATTTTAAACTACCAAAGTTTTTTATTCCAAAGTACCAACAATTGTTTTCCATTCCGACAAGCTATCTATTCTTAACTACCAATTATTGTAATTCATTTTCATAAGTTATTTTATTCTAAACTACGAATTATTGTTTTTCATTTAGACAAGTTTTTATTTAAAAAAAACCAACAAAAATACAAAAAGGGTCATTCATTTTCACTTCCTTAAAACATTTAATAACCTACCTATATATCTGTTTATTTGAGTATTCATGAATTCTTGAACCTTTTTCGCCTCCTTGGTATCATTAACAAGGGGCACTGCTTCTATACTCGCGCAATATTCCTGTAAATAAAGAAAAATAAATTAAAATAAAGATAACACATAATTATGAGTCGTCTCCCTTTTTCTTACTCAAGAACCGCGTTACCAGGGATACGAGATCAATGTCACGTGGGTAGAAGCCCTTTGCTTTGACAAAGACAAGATATGCAAATCCTTACATATCGGACTGGTGTTAAAACCTGTGTCGGAAACTTCATCTGGCAACGGAAAGCCAAGATCAGACCGGGTATCGTGATCCGAGCCGCAACGTATAACATATATTATAAATATATCACATGACATGGCTTCTATTAACCCTAAACCTGTTGAATGTGTGGTATTGATTTTTCCTGTTTTGAATCTGGAACATTCCATTCAATGTTTATTTCAATATAGAAATAAAAAAAAAACTACCAAACAGTATAGAGCTTATAAAGGCCGCGCTTTACGTACAAAATTTGCCTGGCTTTATACTCGTGGTAAACGTACCTCTGCGTCTGAACTATGCACTGGCGTGGAACTGTACATGTAGCACTTCCGGTTATAATATGTCCAGTTGGCAGGGCAATCAGTCTCTAAGAATGAAAGAAAATAAATATATACATGAAGTAGTATAACTATTTTGAAACTACACACATTTAATTTTGTGCGTAAAATGTCAAAACAAGTTCATTTTCAATACTTTCAATGTGTTTACTCATGTGATAAAACAATATGCTTAGTCATGTGATAAAACCAATGTGTTTAGTCATGTGATAAAACTAATGCGTTTAGTCATGTAATAAAACAATGAACTTGGTTATGTGACAAACCAATGCGCCTAGTCATTTTATAAAACAATGCACTTAGTCATATTATAAAACAATGTGCTTAGTTGTGTGATGAAACAATGTATTTAGTCATATTATAAAACAATGCGTTTAGTCATGTGATAAAACAATGCATTTAGTCAGGTGATAAACCAAATGCGTTTAGTCATGTCATAAACAGTGCGATTAGTAATGTGATAAAACAGTGCGTTAAGTAATGTGATAAAATATTGCGTTTAGTCAAGTGATAAAACAATACATTTAATCATGTGATGAACCAATGCACTTAGTCATGTGATAAAACAATGCGTTTAGTCATGTGATAAAACAATGTATTTAGTCATGTGATACAACAATGCACTTAGTCAACTAATAAAACAGTGCGTTTAGTAATGTGATAAAACATTGCGTTTAGTCATGTGATAGAACAATGCATTTAGTCATGTGATGAACCAATGCACTAAGTCATGTTATAAAACAATGCATTTAGTCATGCGATAAACAAATGCGTTTAGTCATGTGATAAAACAATGTATTTAGTCATGTGTTAAAACAATGTGTTTAGTCATGTTATAAAACAATCTTTTTAGTCATGTGATAAAACAATGCGTTTAGTCATGTGGTAAAACAATGATTAAAGTCATGTGGTAAAACAATGAGCGTCATCATGTAATCTCACACTCGTTGCCATATAATACAACACAAAAAGACCTTTCATTAAAAAGTTTAAAGAATTGAAAGAGCTCAAACATTTTATATTAAAGCATATTTGAAATATTCTGATATATCTAAGTTTTTTACCTTTGACAGAAGCTTGGCTGGGTACATTTTCTTGTTCTGGAAAAGTGGAATTCTCCTCTAAGGAAGGCAATAGCTGTTCTCGTGTCATGAACACTGGAATATTGTGTGAATAATTTTGTTTAGAAATGAACGATGGTGATAAGATTCACACAGAAATGTTTCAAATAGGTAAAAGTAATAGGTTATAGTAAAATTGATTAACAGAAGTAATTCTTTTCATCTCATTACAATTTGCCGGGCAAAAAAGATTGGAACCGCGGCACCCACGAGGACTACCTAAATAGACAACGTAATGTCATTTATCACTTACCTGTTAAATACAAGGTGATGCCGCCTGTTGCCAGAAGGACGAACGAGCTGACAATGATGAAATACCGTATAAAAGACCAGCCAGATTTGTTGATGTCCTCGTTGTCAGTATCGTCTCTCTGATCATCTGACGTCACGTTTTCTTCTACGTCAATAATAGATTCTTCACGCAGGGATTCTATATTATATAAATGAGTAATAAAAGAAATCCTTGACTGAAAACTTTTACTAAAAGCTGTTCATTATTATTTTAATAAAATGACTGGTTAAATTTGAGTGAAGTTGTAACATATTTAGTAAAACAGTGCACCAGAGATACATTTATATACTAGTAAACACATCAGAGATAACGTAACACTGTTACACACTCGTATAAATACGGAATTCTGTTAATTCTGTAAATTCCCTTTGAATATATTTGATAAGAAATCATTTGATGTTACAATGCAGTAGACGTGATCTTAGCACACTATTGTAAGGAACGCCGTGACTGACTTATGTGATCAAGCAAGCATTGATAAGAGAATCACGGCGTTCCATAGAAACACATTAAACATCATACTGCCCCGTTTCAACATGGTACTGTCGCGTTATAAACTTCGTAATATCGCGTTGTCACCGTGTTTTCGCAATTTTGTTCTCGAAAACTGGCAAGTTAACATAAATTTGCTATGTATTAATTTAAATGTGACAAAGGTAGCACATGCCAGGTCTTACTGAAACATATCATAAACACATACCCTTCGTGCTGTCTGCTTCAGTGTCACTTTGTTTAGACATTTCCTCGATATTCTACCTGAAATAATATTTAAGTAAGCTTTTGTTTTGCTGTGCAGTGAAAAAAGGAAAAAAATAAAATTAAAGAACGTCAACACCAACTGCTTTATATCCCTAGTGGCAAGCATTTTCATTGAGACCTCCTTCAAAATACGATTGGACAATATCCGAAAGGAGTGACCAAGGTGTCTCCTCTTATCCGATTGACAGGAATAGACACGTGACACGCGCCTGCTCAGGAAATGCGATTCAATTTTGTCGGTGGAAAATACGGGGGCAAAAAGGTGCCACATGCTCGATTAAGTTTTTTTGTTTTGTTCGTTTTTTGTTTGTTTGTTTGTTTTTTGTTTGTTTGTTTGTTTGTTTGTTTTCATTTTTATTCAAAGTTCGAAACATCAACAAAAAAGAAGAGTACTAGAGAATAGTGCACATCGAATAATCAAAGATACGAAAAAAACAAACAATTTTTTAAGTAAAATTTTGAAATGCATGGTACAAGAGAAGCTTTGTAGTATGACAACATCATTAAACTACGTAACGTTTTATTTATTGAAACGAGTAAATACGTAAAATACTTGGATTATTGATAACATTAAATGGTACTTACCGAATACAGTATACAATACCTAAAAATATTAGCACTTCTTATTATGTTGTAGCAATTGTACAAAAAAGTCACAAAGTGGCGGTTTATATATTTGTTTGAAATATATTAAGACGAAATGTAAATAATTCAATGTTACATGACCATGTCAGTCGTGTTTTAAAATGGAGTTAAAATAATTATATATATTAATATCTATGCGTGAATGTTTTTAGATTTTGTAAAACGATGGATATTATTAATAAAGAACATAAAAATATAACATATGCTGCAGTTTGTAATTCCATTTTTTTTTTTTCAAATATGGTGGTCAATTTGATACTTTGTAGTGGTTGTTAGAAATTAACACTTAAGGATACACAGGTGTCATTATGCAATAAGCTTTGTGAAATTAAATTAACATTTTGAAGTAGAATCTACAAAATTAATGCCAAATGAAAAACAAAATCAGCAAGTAGTTTATCTTTAAACATTTATCATGTGCTATGTAAAACACTTTTTAAACATGTGCTTGGCCTTATTTACATAGCTGGGTAAGTGTCTCGTTCTATAATACTTCGCAGCTCCCACCTCCCACCGGATGTGTTCCGTGAATGCCTTGCCGATCTTCAAGACAACTTTTGTCGTATCTCACACCTATAAAATAGTGGTTATTTCAACGAACTGGCCAGGTGTAATACAAATGTTGCGATTGAAGCGGTGCTGCTAAAAAAATATTACGCGTTCTTATCAAAGTGTGTGAACATTTCGCGCCAAAATTGATATTCTTGCAGATGTTTGTTTTTATATTTGTAAACATCAATTGAGAATTAAATTGATTGATAAGAAGCGTGAATTCCTAGAGAATAACATCCTTTATATTTTCGATATATAATTTTCTCACCAGCCAGTATGATTCTAATTCACTTGCTTTGCTGACACCTATTTATATCATACAGTTTCACACTGATGTATTTTTGTTAGTAAGTGAGTGATGAGTGAGTGAGTGAGTGAGTGAGTGAGTGAGTGAGTGAGTGAGTGAGTGAGCAGTTTATTATAGTGGCATGTGCATTTCTTATAAAACAAAATAAATATTAAAGTTAAATTAGCCTTTGGGCAAAATATTCATTCCTGAACATATTGATCTTTAAGTCTTTGAGTCTTATCAAAGACGTAAAATGGCATTATAAGTTCACATTCTTTATAAAGAAAAAAAGCTGTTATTTTCATTAATGTCCACAAACAACTTTTTTATCAATGCAAATAATAAGAAGGCGTTTTAAGCTATAATAATAAAAGGCCGGAGGCTTTTATTTACATATAATTGTTGGATTGAATAAGTATAGCATATATTCCGGCTGTCTGTTTTAAAAGGTGTCGGCCAATTATATTACTGACTAACAAGAATCCTTAAGAGCAGTGTTGTCCAAGTAATTGTCTGTTTCTACTAGCAGTACGAAAAGCATCAAAATAATTGAAAATATAAATATTAACAACGTGATCAACCATAAGTTTCTCACTGTTCCGACATAAAGGAAGATAATTTTGTATATTTTTGAAGTATATTTTGAACAAACTTGTCTCCCTTGTCCCAAAAAAACGCATTTCAACTACGCCTTTTTGACTTTGGGCTCTGTACAATATGTTGTTTTTTTTAAACAGGAAACGTTATCTATAGGACATTTTCAGAAATCAAAAACAACTATAATCAGCTTGCAAAATACAACTTGACAAATGTATGATTGCGTTCAAATGCAAAGATAATGCGCATTATTTGAGAAATGTTGCTACTAGCCAATACCTTTGGCAGGTTGCTGAAATATCACAGTTGAAAATGAGGATTTTTACAAGCATAACGAAATTACAAAGACAATGTTGGCCCATCGTCGGATACCCAAATAAAATTATTAACGTTTCAATTGGTTTTAATTACCTCATGAAATCGTGAGGCAACCGATGAAATTGTTGTCTTTGACACACCTCTAATCAACTGAATATCGGAATAAAATCCCACGGCTGATAAATGTTGATGGTTCGGCTGTTGATGATGATGATGATGTTGGTAAAATTCTTCAAGCGATTGTAAAATAATTACTTGTTGATTTGAAATATTGCAAATAGCAAGTTATAAAAGTGGGTATTTGTTGGAAGCTAATCCCTAAAATCCTCAGAGCATGAGCACCATTTAGTGGCTTTTGTCAATGTAGTTTTATACCCCAGATTCATGTAACTGTTGCAGGTAGTTGTGGTGGTGGTGGTAGTTTTCATTCCGGATCACGGCAGTAAGCCACACTGAATTCACCAGTTCAACCACCGCATCGTTCCTTGGCAGGCTGTCAAGCAGTTTACCAGTTCTAGTTGCCTTCACTTTCGCAAGGAACTGAAACTTCTGCACTTGCCACAGCAGAGGTGCAGTGCGAATGACCGTAGAATCGAATCCGGGTCGCCCGTTTCACAGTCCAACGCTCCACCTATTGAGCTAACCGGACGGCTGTGTAACTGTTGCAGAAGCAATACAGTATATTTATACCTGAGAACTCAAATGGTAACAAGAAGAAATTTGTAAGAAAAGGTTGATAGTGCTTGCACACACAGCCGTATATAAAATATGAGAAGTTGGAACCTTAAAATTGGAACCTGAAAGTTGGAACCTGAAAGAGGGACACACGAACAAAGTACATGTAACAAAGAAATCCAAGAAATGGTAGATTCAGTAACACCTATAATAATATTTGATCAAGCTTTGCAAAACGTTATTGCAGAAGAATAAACTGTACGCCAGTAAATGAACATATCTATCACCCGATCTCAACCTGAAGAAAAGTGTACCAATCTTTACAAAGAACAGTGTTCTGGTAATAGTTATGTTGGCATTCCGATGCATGAAAAGAATTTATGTTATAACTAGAACTATTTCTTTAAAAAAAAACATGTCCAGAAAAAAAGATTCTTGAAATAAATGATGAAAGAAACAACAAATAAAACTACTTATGCTAAGTGAAACTGAAAAGCAAAATGAAGAAGAAAAGAAAGAAACAAAGCAATAGTAGGAAGTACAGGCACGTGGAATTCTTAAGTCTGATCAAATTGCAGTCAAAACAAATACTAAGCATGTAACAGTCACATTCGTTCTTCAACAAAGATTGCCAATCAATATTATACATGTATCAATTTTCGAGCGTTCGCAACTACGTGAGGCTATAATATGGGTTTATCTTTTTATTTGGGCCATATGCAGCTTTTCATGGAATGACAGGAACGTATCACATTGAAAGCATATCATTATGATCACAGCTGTATGGGCATAATTATCTGCAGAAGTTTCAAAATTCAAATCTTACCATATTAACTACCGTCCCTAAAGAGGTTTAATCAAGGATGCATTTTTTTTAATTTTGCCGTTGTTGCGTTTCTTTAGGGATTCTGTATTTTACACTATTTTATCACCTAAGGCTACATGCATACCATAGGGATTGTGTTTATGCGGCTTGGTCCGTGGGTCAAGAGGGTTTTCCTGTTTCAAATACATGTATTCAAAAAGAATTTTATAAAATTATAGTATAAGTCTTACATTTTACTTGTCTGGAAATGGTTTAAAAACAAGTTTCACCATAAAGATGGATGCCCCATCTGTGTTAAAATGTTTTTTTTATTGATATTTGACGGAGACGGGTCCGACCCCAAGTGTCTGTTGGTCCAGGAACTTTTGGACTACACTTCGTACATGTTTCAAAAAGCACGTTTATATTATTAGTTATAAAAATGTCAGGGTTTTATGACCCTATATAACCGGTTGTTTGCATATATAACCCAAGCCGCTATGTGACTTGACTACATATTTAACAAGAGCCATGTTAACATGGCCATCCCCCGCCGAATGGGTTTGTTGATAGGGAGAATGTATATGTAGTAGAGCAGAATAATTCAATTTAAAGAGGTCTTTCGGTAACGAAAAATGATGGCTGAAGTGATTAAAGATTTGAAACCAATGTGAATACTGATGGCTGAAAATAACAAAGGAAATAACTGCAAAATAATGCAGGGTAGGTTATCATTATTGTGTGCGTGCTGCACACGTCCTCAATGAGATCTATCCACCTATGAAGTTTCAAGTTGATACCTCAAACACTTTTTGAGATAAGCTCCGGACAAAAAGTATGAAAAATAACAAAGGGCAATAACTCAAAAGTTATAAAGGATAGAGTTATCATTCTTGCACACAGCATTCCTCCTCAATTAGATCTATCCACCTGTGAAGTTTCATGTTGACATCATAAAGACTTTTTGTGTTATGCTCCACTCAGGTGAAAAATTAAGTATGAAAAATAACAAAGGGCAATAACTCAAAAGTAATAAAGGGTAGAGTTATTATTCTTGCACACAGCATTCCTCCTCAATTAGATCTATTTACCTGTGAAGTTTCATGTTGACATCTCAAAGACTTTTTGAGTTATGCTCCACTCAGGTGAAAAATTAAGTATGAAA